GGACCAGGACCCTTCTCTTTCGCTTCTCTGTGTTGGTATGTAAGTGTTTGCCTGAGTTTGTTTCGCATAGTTTTTCGTAGTGGCAAAAGTTCCCGAAAGTCAGCAAATTCGCCACCCCACCTGACCAACGGCCCTGCCTCGTTTGCCTATTTAATTCCGTCTCGGTGGCCGCCATTGAACATCTCCGTTTCAGGTCGCCATGGAATTGAGGGATCCGTGATTTATGTCTGACACCTATGAGCCCGGCTCTTCAGCTTTTCACCCGAAGTGCATGTCAATTTTTTTGTTTTCTCTTCTTCTTAAGTCTTTTTGTTTGCTTAAGTATTTTGCACTCTTTAAGCTGTTGCCAAGGCCAATATTTCTTGCCTACTTCAGTCAGCCCGCATTAAAAATGCCTAAAATTGTGTGTATGATGGTTGGAATACCCTGGGATCTAATTCGTTTTTGGTTTTTATATTTTGGTTCGAAGTTAATCCATTTTCCTTTTAATACAAATGCACTTAACTATGAATTTTCAAATTTAAATTCTCTGAAGAATTCGCGTTATATTTGATTTGTCTTGCTGTACTTTCTATGATATTTATAATTTTATATTTAATCACAATTAATGACAAATGTGAGCTAATTCTAAGTTTTTAGAAAAAAGTTTCTAAAGAATTTGCGTTTTATTTTGGTTGCCTTTCTATGATTATAAGTAATATTTTTAAGAAGCTTTTAAAGGCATTTATAATATCTTTAGTATTGATGGTTGGCCAGTCCTTTGAAAGACTCTACCGACTTGAGAATACCTCCATTCGAGGGTATCAAGGTGATTTATTTTTTCCCCGACCCGAAGCAACTTCGTTCACGCCCCACTTGAAGGCCCGGCCGAGCACTCTGCTCATCAGCTCGGTTTCGGCTCCATTGTCATTATCAGACCGGGCGATGCCATGGTGACAAACTAAATTAATGATGATTCCTTTGATGGCTTTTGCCATCGCCATGTTTTGTATTTAAATAAATATTTGATTAATGCTTCTCGCTGAAAACGACTCCTACATGCCTGTTTTTGTCGCCGTATTGCACAAGATGCCATATTTCCCTGATGCCGTTTATTTCATAAATTATATTGTTTTATGGGTTTTTATTGTGGGCTGTTTTATCGCCGTTGATTGTGATAAATGGTTGCTCTATAGGCTATACAGGCTAGTGGTGAAAGTTGAGTTTATGCAATTAATACGGTGGCGTCTTAAATTCTCAAGGTCTCTGCTTCTCGGCCATTTTGCGTTTGCCGCAAGATCCAGTGGCTTATTTTGTTCTCCTGCCGCCCACTAAAACTCCTCTATTCACCCAAACCAACCTATTCGCTACACATTCCGCCGACCAATCTCATCGTGGCTAATTAAATTTTAATATTAAATTTTTGGGGCTGCGAAATGTGCTACGTACGCTCGGCATCCGCTTGTAAAATTATCTTGGAAAAGTTTCCCGAATTTTCCGCAAACGGTGGGTTAGGCGCTCCGAAAATGCGAAACAAAAATCAACTCCCACGTGTGTTTCGGTGTTCAGTTTCGGGATGGGGTTCTCTTCTGGTTCTGTTCTGTCCGTCGGGGTTCATGCAACATTTATGGCGAGCTCTTAGGCCCGGAGAACACTTTTACGATGTCATAAAATAATTAATAACGCCACTAAACAACGTAATTACGCGCCTAAGCCCAATGCAAACAGGTATGAGGGTGTGTGTTCCATATACGTATACGTTTGTATGGGAGGTGGGGAGTGTGCCAGATTATGTGGTTGCCGACGCCTAGATAAATGCTACAGTTTCGTGTTAACCAAATTGCAACTTTGTATTTAATTAGGCACGGGCGCTTATTCAATTTGCCGCTCACTCGTGGCCCTTCTACCTTTTCAGTTCTGAACTTACCGTAAATCAGCTCACGTTCAAAATTCGCCGTTGGCACAACGATTAGGAAGACCACGCCCGGCATCCTGTCAGCGTTCCAGGATGGGTCTGCAAAATGGATATGAATGAGCACGAAACTGGAAGACATTAATTCAAATTCAGCTGGCCCAAAGAGTTGGCAGCCTAAATTGAGCGAAGAACTTGAGACTTGGATGTGTATGCAACAAACTCCTCCCGTGAGTGCATCCAAAACAGAGAGCCGTCTTTTGCATAACAACCCAGGCTCCAGCCCCCCCCATTATCCAGACTTTTATACCCAGTCACTGCATTAGCATCTCTGTCCGGTTTCATTTTCGCCCCTCGTGCCTAAGTTTTTAGAGCCAGAGCTTCCAACTTGCCGCCGTTAATGGGCTCCGAAGGTTGCTGCTTATAGCTGCTATAAGTAGTTTGCGTTTGTGTTTTTCCCGCTGCCAGAAGTCCAGGTACTTTTAGAAGTTCTGGCTTGCTGATGGCTGGCCGATTATCGCAACAATTTCTTAATCAAAGTGCAAGCCAACTCTTTCGTAATTCTCCTGTATCAATAAAAGGTAGAATGCTTGCAAAAGAGCGAATGCCTGCGAGGATATTTGCACACCCAGTGTTCCGACTACTCGAAATTAAAATGCCATTAGCACCGAGTTGGGGATGAGAACGATGCGAGTGCGATTAAACAGAGGAGCAGACAAGGCCGGGATATTACTGCCTGTGGATCTGCCCGAGAACGTGTAAGTGAAAGCGAATAAGGAGCCGAGATTTAATGGAGCTGCGATTTTTACTCTCCATTGGAATCACTGCGGTTCTCGAGGCACGAGAAAATGCATTTCGCTGCTCGAGATTTACTCAAGAGCAGGGCAACAAGGATGCTCCTGGCTTCGCAGGATATTGTTCCTCTTGGCACATTGCCTTAAATTAAAGCAGAGGAAAAAATAACCTTAAGTTTTAAGATAATTAATACCAGAAAAAACAAGGCTATCGATCAAAGACCATTGTAATGTTTCGTAATCCCATAAATATCAACATAGATAAATTAAATAATAATTACCATTATAATATTTTTTGACCAAACCGTATTGCTAAGAACTAGCAGTTAAATCATTTTTAATTTATTACAACTCATAAATTCGTTTCAATCTGGCACACTTCCCAATTATTTTCTGTTTAACTAGAATTTTTCGAGTGCACATTGCCTGGGCGAAGAGGAGTCAACAATAAAAAGGTTCTCAAGTAAATCAATATTTGAATACACCTTATGAGCAGCCAGTTCTGGGCCCAGTTGACATTTTCCGGGCTAGGGTTTTGGGATGGGAAACTTTCCCACAAACTGTTGGTTTTTTTTGTTTGCAACACTTTACTTAAAAACTTTTCACAGCAGTCCCAAACAAACGGCCTACCCAAACTCCACATTAAAACTCCATGGAATGAGGGGACAGAATCGGGGCCTAGAGCCCAATCCCTACGCTGTCCTGTTCCGGTTTTTGGTCGGACCCATTCACCCGGTCTCCACAAGCCTCTTAGGAACTTTCAAGCCAAACAACCGAAGCCACTTTGCAGCACGTTCACAGTTGCACTTTTATTTTTTTCTTACTTGCCACTTGCCATCTTTCATTTTGCGGCATATTTATTAAAAAGCAAGGAGCGCAAGCAAAAAAAAGAAAGGAAGGGAAAATCGTGGTTGGGGGGGTAAATTCTTTTATATTAACCGAAAATATTTATTTTCTTGCTTGCTGCCTTCGTTTTTGTGCGCACTTTTCTGATTAATTCCGTAACTATATATTTGCACAACTCGGGTGAAGTTTTCCGCCGCGACCACTTGAGAAGAGTGCAAAGCCGGAGACTCCAGCTTTACTTTCCACTTCTCTGGAAGGATTTTACTCGGTTGGCATTCTGGCATTTCGGCATTGTCGATCCGAGTGTTTGTGTGCCCCCAACAATGGAGCCTGCCAGTAATTTGTATGAGTACCTGATGCCGACCCACTAATTAGGGCACGAGAATTGCACTAGTTTGGCATTCGGCAAAAATAATTACAAACTGCAGGGGAAAAAAGGGGAAAAAAAGAGAAAACCAAAAAACCCACCGAGCCATCAAAAAGCCAATTGAAGTGGTCCAAGGTTTTTAAAAGGCGCGGGGCCCATAATTACTTCCAATAAGTTTTTGCCGCCCACAAACCATAGTGACCAGAAGAGACTTTCCCTGTCAGCTTTGATTTCACGGTTTGCCACATTCTCAGGGGAAAACGCCCCCGACTTTCCCCCAACTTTCCCCAACTATTGTGCGGGTCTAATGCCATCTTAATTAAAAGCGCTAATTGGTTATGTCGGGTAGTTGCAGAAAATGGCGAACCTTGGCGAGATATTTCGCTTAAATAATTTAAAAGGTAGTGTGAACTTAGGAACCACTTCATCAACGCATTAAAGAAGAAATTTAAGAACCTTATGGCTTTTGTTCTCCCCAAGAAAAAACCCTTGTGGGATGAAAGAGATATGATCCAATAGCATGAATATTTGAGCATGCAACAAAAAGCGGGGCAAACACAGAAAAAGTTGGTAAAACTTTTAGACAACAAAACTAACCACCGCATTAGGGTGGACTGGGGTGGACCAACCGACCACCGACCGGCTTTAGCATAATGCATAATCATTTAAACAAGGATAAGCCTCAAGTTGAGTCCTGCAGCCGGGCATTATGACACACCGTGGTGCAGCCAAGTCCGGAAAAATTCCTTTTATGGCCAATTTGAGCGGGGAAAAGAGAAGAGGAGCTTGGCCCGCAGCTTAAAGCCAAGGCGATAAGGACAAAGCAGCCGAAAAGGTGAACAGCTTAAAGAGGGAACTCCAGGTGAACCTTTTTTCCTGCCCAAACTTGGTATCTATCTCTTAGCTTTGGCTGTATTCCGATGCGGGCCCAATGCCCAGTGGTGCTATTTGCAGGAATATATTATCATTAATTTGGAATTATGAAAAAGTGGCGACGCAGCTTAGCTGGGGCAAAAGCATAAAGGATTCCCTTTAATGCATATATCTATGTAATCCCAGAAGCGTGTTAAAGAGTTTCTCTTTTTTCCTTTCCTCCTTTCAGCTGGGCCGTGTTTTGCGAAACTTCAACATCACCAAGATAAGCGATCTGGAACTCATATCGAACTCCACGGATCGTCTGGACATCACCTTTCACTTCTTCGGCGTCAAAGGAGACTCGCAGCGCATCCGGGATGCCATCACCAGGATGGTGGAGAGGGGCAGGATAGGCAACTTCACCCTGGTGGCCAATTTCCATCACTTCGATGAGAACCCACCGCTGAGCTTGCTGGTATGTATTACTTTGTATTACTAGAAGTGAAAGCATTAATCCATCTCTTTTTGCAATTTTGCTGCCAACTGAATTCTATGCAAGATATTTGATTGGCTGAAAGGCAACACATTTTTATCCAAGTTATCTATTGAATTCCTCCGGTTAGCCTGAATTTCTCGCACAAATAAATTTTAAATTCGTCCCAGCCAGCTTTTCACTTTGCACTCTGGGCACATCCATCAATTGGAGGCATTCCATCATTGATTTCTGTGCCGAATGGTATTTTCATTAATTCCGCATCCGAGAAGGCCATCACGGCTATTAAAAGCGTAATAAATATACTGGCCTGCGCATTACACTCCCTCCACTTCCGATACATATTAAACAATAATTTATTAACTATTGCGGCACGTGCTTGGCGAAAGGCGGGCCAATAAAAATAAGCAAAAATAAAAATAATAAAAGCAAAAAGAACGGTAATAGCCAATGTAGCAAAGTGCCGTGTTAATAAATATGCACATAAATATGTCAACAGTGTGGCACTTGACACTCGGACCAACAGCGAAAATAATTATTTATTAATTGCGGCCTGTTCGCCCAAACGAACAATTGGCCTCATCAGGCGGCCTGCAATTAAGTGGCATTAACATGACGAACAAGCCGCCGAAACCTCAGAGGCCCCAAAACCCCAAACCCGAAGTTTGACGGACAGGAACTGGGGATTGCATCCCCAACCCATTCCATCTTGAAACCAAAACCCAGCACTGGTTGCCTAATTAGCATGACATTGTATCCCTTTGCAGGAGCTGACCGTCAATCAACCGCAATCAGGAGTCCGCGAGGCCAGCGAGTTCATCATTTCCTGCACCGCCCAGGGCTCTTCGCGGATGCAGTTCCAGTGGTTCAAGGACGGGGCTGTGGTGAACGCCACCCGGGCGACGAGGTGAGTAAACTATCCAGTAGGAGTACCATCTGGTTATCTCCCGCAACCAGCTCGAAAATCCATAAACCTCGCAGTAACCCCAAACGGAATCTGAAGTTTTAATAAAATGGTATAAAATGAAAGTAGGAAAAATCTGTGGGCCAATGTCACACTCGGAAAGTCAGAAGACGAGACTCGTCGCGCAGCACAAGTGTTCAATTTGACTTTATGACTTTTACACATCAATAAACATGACATAAAAATGCCTGGCTGAATAAAAATGAAACGGCCAAAAAGGATAAATAAGTCAGGGCAAAGATAAAGATTTGTCAGGCGAGAAGGAGGAGGAGGAAGGACGATGGATAGTGGGGGAACCAGACTCTAAGCCAGAGTCTGATTTCTCGACCGGGCCGAAAGCTAACCGCAGTGAGCCTAGCCGAATGATTGATCATAAATCCAACAGTGCGGGCCAGCCGGAACACATGTGTGGCCAACATATACGAATGGCATTCTCATTGCCATCCCCATTCCCATACCCCCATATCAACCTCCCCCTTTAGGAATCCAGATCCTTTCAGATCCACTTGGCTGACGGGGTGTATGGTGTATTACATAAAAAGCATATGGCCGTAACTAACGAGGGGCTGTTACTTGGGCGACTGGGCAGGGGTTATGAGGAGCTTAGCCCAGCCCTTCCATGAGCAACACCACCCACTATGCACCCATGTTGCCTTGACAATTCGCCTTGTAGCCGCACCACAAAGCTCAAACTTTAAATGTGTTGCGTGAATGGGAAATGAGCGGAGAACGGAGGTCCTTGGTTGGTTAAATGGGGGGAAAACGGCATGTCGAATGGGCGGGTTTGGGTTTGCAGTGCGGTGCAGATGCCGATAGAATTCGCAATTCATTAACAAAAATTTAAGCGCTGGCAGGCATGCTCTCAGTGTTCCGACTCAAAAGACTTTTTGGCGACGACATGTCACGAAACGTTGCCAAAGTTGTTTTTATCAGCCACGAATGTTGAAAGGCCTTTTTGCTACAAACTATCTAAAATGTTCCCCATTGTTGTTATTTAAATTGTGCTTATGAAGCCTTCCATTTAAATTTAAATACTTTTTACCAACAGAATCTCTATAAATTTAATTCAAAAAAAAATAAAACAAAAAACGTCAGTTATTCAATTTACAATTCATATTTAATTAAATTAAAATGAATCTTAAATATGATTTATTGCCTTTAAAATCGCTATAAATTAAATTCTAGTTTTCTAAATATTATGAAGCAAATAAACATAAAATTCTATGCCATTTCTCATTCATATTTGATTATATTAAATCAATACTGTAGTTTGTTTAGCCACAGCATTTATTACTGGTTACTCAATCAGCAGATAACTATCAAACCGAAAACGAGGTGTTCTATTTTTATTCGGTGTTCGAATAGGGGATTGCTCATCCGTATATTACCTTTCAAATAAATAAATGAAGGGCTAGGGCTCCGCCCCGCAAATCGATAGCCAAATCTATTCTCGGAGTTTTTGTTATCCTGTGAAGCCAACTATGCGTTTTCCAACTGCCAACTGGTAGAACAATTCGGACCCTTTCATGGCCATTCCGCCAGCCCCATCCGGTGGTGGCCCGGACTTATGATTACTTTTATGCATATTTGTACGGATCCCCCACATGTACACAGTGTACATATCCGTATCCGTGTTTGCTGCAGGACCTCCACGTGGTCCTTCCCTACCCTTCCCCCGACTTTCCCCAACCATTTTGTGTGGCGTGGCCCACTTAGACGCATTGATGTGTAAAAAATGACTGCCGTACAAAGCCGCAAACATGTGTTTCCCCCAAACGCAGGGGCAAGTATTAGTAAATATTTTAACTAAAGTGAAGTGAGTGAAGTCATTCATTTGGACATTTACCAACTTTGCATTATACAAACGACTACACATTAAATCCGTACGATGACTTTACTTTTGCGTACTAAAATAACCGGAAGTAAGTGAATTTTTAATGCTTGATTTCACCGCAGGGAGCTGTTCACTTGGGGAAATGTAATTTATTATCGGAACATGGCCAATACTATCCCTTTCCTGATTAGTTTGCACGATGACTATTTGTAAGCAATTACTTAGCTTGGATAGTTTGCATATGCCTTGTGTAAACTAAAGAGAGAATTTCAACAAAAAAACGAGGACGGAAGCTAACTTCGGCAAGCCAAAGTTTTAATACCCTTGCAGATTTCACTAATGAAAACTTGACTAAAATAGCAAATTGAATTAATAAACAGCAAAATATTCTATAATTGAAAAAAATATAAATTTTATATTTTTCACCCTATTGTTCCTATGGGAGCTATATGATATAGACGTCCGATCGGCACGCGCTTTTACCCTGATCAAGGTACGCACAAAAAAATACGATTTGGAAAGTTTCATGGGAATAGCTTATATTTTGCGCGAAATATCCTGAAAAACGTCAAATTTTGACCGATTTCACCCTATTGCTTTTACGCGCTTTTACCCTGATCAAGGTACGCACAAAAAAATACGATTTGGAAAGTTTCATGGGAATAGCTTATATTTTGCGCGAAATATCCTGAAAAACGTCAAATTTTGACCGATTTCACCCTATTGTTCCTATGGGAGCTATAAGATATAGACGTCCGATTGGCACGCGCTTTTACCCTGATCAAGGTATGCGTAAAAGAATAAGATTCATGTCAAAAGCTTTTACACTGAGCGAAATATCTTCATTTTGTGAAAGCTATATCCGATTGTTCCTATGGGAGCTATAGGATATAGACGTCCGATCGGGTCGGCTTTCAAACTTGATCTGCGTACACATGTTTTAGGACGACTGTGAAAGTTTCAAGGCGCTAGCTTTTAAACTGAGCTCGCAAACGGTATTGAAACAGACGGACAGACGGACAGACGGTCAGACGGACAGACGGACAGACGGACAGACGGACAGACGGACAGACGGACAGACGGACATGGCTATATCGACTCCCCTATTGATCCTGATCAAGAATATATATACTTTATGGGGTCGGAAACGTCTCCTTCACTGCGTTACAAACTTCTGACCAAAATTATAATACCCTCTGCAAGGGTATAAAAAATATTTTCATAAATACAAAACATTTTGAATTTGCGAATGCCACTTAAGACCCTAATAAAATTGTTGTAACAACAAATATATTTGTTTTAGAATTTTCAATATTACTAATACGCAGGGTAAACCAAACTCGTAATTTTTTTTTTTTGTATTTTATACTTGGCTTTTCTTGTAAATAAAAATTTATTTTTATTTAATACTTGTGAATACACTTGTTTTCTGTGTATAGTGACTTTTATTGTTCTGTGGACTTTATCATCGGAATATTATGTAATTTAAGCCAATATCCTACTAACTTACGGAGTAAGAAACCTTTAAGACCGACAAACAGAGGCGTTCGACCGTTAATCTATTGGATTGCCAGTCGCCAAATTTTGACCCAGTTAGCAGATGTTTATCGGCAGCAACATAGGCCCATTCCTGTACCTCAGCCCACTTAATGAATGCAATTATTTTCCAATCACGGCGCCAACGCATCCAAAGCTGGCTGCCAAGGAGCCCGCAAGCACGGCTAACAAACCCCAAGCTCCCGAAACGGGGGCTTTGATTAACATTTGGAGCTCCATTCGAAGGCTCAAAGGAGGTGCGCACATGTGCAAAATAATCTATGGCTGCCACCAGTGTTCGGCCATTAATTGCGCCCCTAATCCTGTGTCCTTTGCAATGTGGGTCGAAGGATTGGATGATTGGGCGACAAGGTCGCTGGGCTGCTAAAGTGCTAACACCGCTATTAAGCAAATACTTCACATTAAGATATCTTCGATTCGATATTAGTTCACTTTCAGCTTTCACTTTTCAAAGGGTCCTTTAATTAATTTAAAGTAACGACTCTTTTCTTACTTGTAAGCACCTTTAAAGTCAGAAATCAACTGAGCTGCAGACCAAGTCTGCCATAAGAAATCACTTTTGCTCACACTTTAAACGTTTAACAAATTCCTGCTAATTCCATAAACAGGAGCTTGTGAGAATCTGTAATCTCTGACGTCTTTTACAACTGTGTGTTATGTAAAAGTCTGATTCCACAGTTGCATGCCATTTGTAGATGGCAAACCAATTGACCCTTTAAAGAGCAAGTCGAAATTCCTGCTAATATTAGCTTAACCCTAAGCACTTGCGTAATCTATATTTGTCTCAGCGCCATGGAGTGGAAGGGCTTGACTGCCTGTCAATGCAATTTCAAACCCATTCCCCTTCTCCCTTCTTTCCGAGCCAAGAACAAGTCTTTGGCTTGGGCCAACGAAACTGTTGCAGTCACTTTTGGCCGTTCTCTGGTTCTCGCTCTGAGAATTTGTCAAACTTGCTTAAAAGCCAAAGCAAAAATTCAATTTCAGCAGCCATGCAGCAAGCAGCCAAATTGCCTGACCCCAGCACGAGACATAAGTAAAATATATTTCGTATATATTTTACAAATTGGCTCAACCGGGGGCAACAGTAGTACAAAATGGCAGCGCAGCAACAAAGAGGCAACAACTGTCTTGACAACGCAACGCAGCTTTGTTGTCGTTGGCTCTCTAGGACAATGGAATGCAGCTCCTCCGCATACAGGGTGCGAATTTGATCCTTCTGCTCCTCCCCTAGGATTACCCAGGAAACTTAATCCGACAGAGCTTCCATTATTTCCAGCCAATCAATAATCTGGCTATTTACTTTTGCCATATTTTAGTTACAAGCGATAGACCCTGTATTCAATTGTTTGGATAGCATTGCAGTCACACTGAGGGAAAAAGCTTCCAAAAACTAGTATATTAAGAAAGGGATTATATAAAAATTTCGATAAATTGGGATCAATTTAATTTCAGGTATTTTTGGGACTCCCTATATGATTTATTTCCTTTAAAATCTTTATAAACTAAACCCTAGGTTTCAAAATATTATAGAGCATATAAAAATTAAAATTCTATATCTTTAAGTAAGGGATTAAATCAAAATTTCAATATAATGGGATATACTTTTCACTTTATTTGATTTATTACACTTCTTTCTAATTTAATATAAATTTCTGTATTTTTTCTCACTTCCAAGTTTTTTTTTCCTCAGTGCTTTAATATCCTTTGTGGGGGGTCACGATTTTCATTAGTTTCATTTGCCACAATGCGTTTGCCATGCTCGTCTGCCTCGTCTCGATTCCTTGGCTTTTCCCTGCTTCTGCGTTGCGGGGTGACAATGGCACCAGTGCTGCCATTTTGTCCTCTTTCCGGACAGATCTGTCCTTTTTTTAACGGCTTTATCCGGAAAAAATTTCAAACATCCCCTATCCGGAAATCTATCCTTTTTTCAAAAAAAAGGTTTTGAGTGTTATTTTTGCTAGTCGAAAGTGTATAAACCTGTTTTTATATGCTAAAATGCCTTTTTAACCATCATTCTTACAGTTCGGCACTTAAAAAATAATTCTTTTTACAAATTATCAAAGAGACGTAAAGCAGTCAATGGATTTTCTTTATAGTACGATTTTTTCTGTAGCAAAAAAAGAGGAAAGCACTTTTAAAATTTCTTAATTTTTACTCTCTGCTTTATTGTCAGAAAAAAAATTCAGATTCGAACGACTATTTTTCCGGTTTGACGCAGATATTTAATTTTTTTGTATTACGAATATAGTTACTTGAAATGCATTAATTACACTATTCAGCATCAAAAATTAACCTCGATGAATGCTATATTTTTGGATTCGTTACGAATTCCCAAGTTTAAAAGATAAAGGGTGTATCTTTTAAAAAACTTTAACATCGAATCAAACCATGCATCCATTTGCCTCTGAGAGCTCCGCAAAGTTGGCCAATTTCAGCATTTTTCGAACTTTGAGGTCCTTTTGCTAAGAATCCTTGCGTCGGGAAACTTTTTGGAAAACGCAGTTTAACTTGGGAATGCGTAACGAATCCAAAAATATAGCATCCATCGAGGTAAATTTAAAAAGCACTAAAAATGCTGCACAGTGTTATTATAATAATTTTAGATTATTACGTATACGCACAAAAATTTACCATGGTAAAATGATCAAACAAAGAAGGTTGTGAGTCGGGCGCAGTAGATCATTACATAATTAAATTTTATTTAAAATCCATTTATATTAAGTAAATATATAACCCATTGGTAAAAACAGAAAAATGTAGGCACATTTACTTTTGTCCTTTTTTTTGTCCTTTTCTTAAATTTTTTGTCCTTTTTTTTCCTGTTTTTTGTGGCTTATCTGTCCTGTTTTTCAAGCTGAGTGATGGCAGCACTGAATGGCACAATTAGTGACACCATCGCCATTCCCATGGCCACTCCGCCGTTCCCTCAAAATTTGGCATTATCTCATAACTGGCTCAACTCAACTCGACTCGCTGTGCAGTGTTTTCCTTGTTTCCCATCCTGTCGCTCCCTCCAATCCAATCCAATATTTCGGCTGCTCGGCGCCACTTGTGCAATAAAAGGAGGAAGCTCCGCGGCTGATTGGAGCGTTGCTGGGACGGGTATTGATCAAACAGCTTGGCTTGTCGGACAAGGCTGGGACCCACTTTCTGGGCAACGCGTGTCGGTCTGAAGGAATGCGGTACAGTGGAGCCTCGAGATAGCGATTTAAAAGAATGATTTGAGGAGAATGCAAAGATATGCTAATTTAATAATGAAAATATGATTAAATATTATCTTAAAGTCAGGGTAATATCGTATGCATTTCTCCAAAATATTATATTAAAATTAATAAATTAAATAAAAAATATATAAGTAAGAAAATAAATAAATCAAAATCAATAGTTCTTAGTAGATGTTATTAATCGTCCGGTTTATTATTTATTTGAAAAAAAATCATAAGGAATATTAAATTGGGATAAACAAATTAAATAATTTTAAAAAATATATCAAATATAGGATATTAAAAACAAAATAAAATATAAAAATAAACAAGAAAGGAAGCTACCTTCGGCCAGCCGAAGCTTATATACCCTTGTAGATAAAAGAATACTCACTCCGTGCAGTTCCAGGGATTCCAGATTCAGCGTTTCGATTTATTTCAATTTTGTTTTTAAGTAGTCAAGAATCAAAACGCCTACTTCCTACAAAGTTACAATGAATTTTCTTATATTTGTTTGGGAGCCTTAAGATATAGTGGTCCGATCCGGCTGGCTCCGTCATATGTACTACCTGCAATAGAAAGAAGACCTTCGGGAAAGTTTTATCGCGATAGCTTTAAAACTGAGAGACTAGTTCGCATAGAAACGGACAGACGGACAGACGGACAGACGGACAGACGGACAGACGGACATGGCTAGATAGACTCGGCTATTGGTGCTGATCAAGAATATATATACTTTATGTGGTCGGAAACGTCTCCTTCACTGCGTTGCAAACATCTGACTGAAATTATACTACCCTCTACAAGGGTATAAAAACTAAATTAAAGATTATTATCTTCGTCTTCATTCTTCACTTAAAATTATTTTTTTAATTTTATATAAATTAGTAAAAATACCATCATCACCTTCCACTAATTGGCAATCTGACTTATAGAAAACCCACTGTCTTTACAAACGGCATTCAAGGTGTATCCAAATTAAGCTCAGTAACAGTGGCAGTAGTGCCAGGTACAGTTGTGCAGCTCCGACTTCCAGTTCCGCCGATTACCATACCCTCCGTGCACTCAGTTAGCTTGTAAGACTCGAACCGGGCGGAGGGCAACGGTTTTTTTGGCCACCTAAGCCAAAAATCAACACGCTTGCTCCGTGTCCAACGAACCGGAATCGGAGGAGGAGGATGCCCATCCACTGGGACTGGGACTGGGAGCACGACCACGAGCATGGCGTGGGGCACCACCACTGGCCGCCGCCGCGTCGTCACTGGTCAACGGGGGAGTCCAAGTGCCGCCAGCGGCACTACTACCTCTCCCACGACCTCGATGTCTGCGCCCGGGACTTTCATCTGCGGATGGACGACAGTGCCTGGTGCCATGGCTCCTGTTTGGTAGGCCGCGTGGTCATAGAGACGGGCACCGAACCGGATTCCCTGGGCCGCGGGACCTTCAAGGTGGTCCTCGATGTCCATCACTTCCAGATCTCTGAGCTGACAGTGAAGGCCAGGAATAGCGACACGGTGTGCGTGGAGGGCAAGCAGGCGGATGACCGGGCGGAGAAGGGTCAGCTGTGCATCACCCGTGAGTTCACCCGATCCTACAAGCTGCCGCGGCACTACGACGCCACCCAGGCAAGGGCCACCTTCTCCGCGGACGGAATACTGATGATTACGGTGCCAGCACCACCGAAGCTGGACGACGTGGAGCGCCTGGTGGAGATCGAGCCCACGGGCAACTACTTTGGCAGCGTCTCGGATCCCACGGCGCCCAGGGCCATCGAGGGGGCGGAGGGGGCAGGGGAGGGCGGAGATGGTGGAGAGGCTAATCCTGCTGGCACGGCGATGGACAAATGAAGACGGCGACGTCTGGCGGTTGCGCAACGATTCCGCTTCCTCATCCCCAAGTGGAGGCGGAAGCCCAAGGGCGTTTAGGCCGTCAGAGGCAGTCGATGGATTCATTTTTTTTGGGGGCGGAGAGGAAAGTCACCTGGCACCTGCACCTTGGAGTTCCAACCGAAAACAAGAGTTACTTGGATTGTTCGTAGGTTCCAACTTAGCTAGCACGTAGACCTTCGTTCGAAACGTGAGCAAATATGGCGAGGTCAACATTGTTCTAGGTTTTTTCTTAAGATAGCTTCAATATAACCCTATAGAGTTGACAACTGCTTGTGATTTTTGTTTTATGCCAATAAAGGACTTTATCAGAAACTACAAAGATTTTACAGATTTTTTACCTTGCTTGGTTTTATCTGAAATTTAAAAAGGCCACATAAAAGTATCTAACCGAATGCTTAGATAACGAAGAATCATTCCATTGAGTTGTTATTTAAAACACAATCACACTCAAAATATTCCCCAGCTAATCGCCCAAACAATCCCAAATCAAGGATAAATCATGCCTCTGGGAAAAGCCCAGCTCGACTACAAATCCCAAGCGAATTGGATTTCTCGCTGCTCTTAACTTTCCTGTCACGCAGCGTTTGATTAGCGTCAAATTTGAATAAAATTCACTAACACCTTTTTGTATTTTCCTCGTCTGCATTTGACGCTCCGGCGTTTCCCTTAGGCACATGGCCCATAAAAAGACAAAGAGGAAACCCAGCTAGTCAGCAAAAAATAAAGGAAAAACACAGACATATGTACGTAGTTTGCTTATCGACCTAAGGAAACTAAAAAGAAATGGTGGTACATCCTTTTCTAAAGAGATTTCTTGAGATGGAAAGAAACAAAATATATGAAAGTCATCTGTAATTAAAATTATAAGGAATTTTTCTCTAGAACTTAAAGTAAATATTAAAGTAGGTCAAAGAGACGTCGGCTCTTTATCTGTATTTCCCCTAAGTTGCAACACATTTTAGCCCAAAAAAGAAGGGTCATGTGACCTACGATATAGAGAAGCCCAATCAGGCCTTCGGCCTTCCCCAAAATCGTGGGCCCAAGTTCCGTTTTTGATTTGGTTTTCGTCCCTTGCAATTTAGCCGTTGAGACACGTTTTCTTGTTACGATTGTAATGAAATTTGCTACATCTTGAAGTGAATTGTTGCAGGCCGCAGCCTGGAAAAGCGAGAAAAGCGGAAAAAATTGCCACCGAACGATGGGACAGGCGAACAACGAGGTCGCGTACTTTGTCATCGTTTTGTTTTTATGCGTAGTTGCGTTTAATAAAGTTTTTATATGGCCCTTGAATGGGGGGAAGGACGAGGGACGCAGGACTTAGGATCCTGTCGTCAGATCTCCGGACCGGACGGACTCCCTTATTTCTAATCAAGTTACGGTTGCGGGAATGATGCCTGCAGCTTTAAGATATTGGACGACCGACTGCCGGGCCGCGGGGATATTCATATTTACGAGTATGGCCGAGGCGGGCGATAAAATATTCAGCAGAAAAGTAACTTCACAATTTCAATTTCCCCTGCTTTTCGGACGAGCCGACGAGAGGGGACAAACCAAAATAACACAACGATAATAAACACCTACACACCAATTTTATGAACTCATAAAACACTCGGATGGAATCGTACTTTATATGTATGTGGAAAAAAAGCCAACCATATGAATGCGAGAGTGCGTATATTTGTTCGTGTTTAAAGAACTCGGCCGTAGGCTGAATGGCTAGATGGCTGGATCCATAAAAAGTCCATATGCACCTCTTCCGGTTCCAAGCCGTAGAAAAACATCGAACATCGCCCTCGGCCATTCCCATTGTTGTTTTATGTTTTATGATCCGCTGGCCACACAGCTCAGCAGAAATCGCATATGCGGTATGTGGATTGCGGCATTTGGATCACAACCAATTTTGTATGGCCTTTAATCCATTGTGGGGCCGATTGAATGTTTTTCAGCTAACTTTTCAATCGCATGGTAATCAAACATCCCCGGGGAGTCGCCAACTTATGTGAAGGCCGCGACACCTAATTACGCAAATTGATGTGACATCAGAGCTCAAAAGTTGGTGGTCTCCAGGGGGAGAAAGTCCAACAGCGCTTTTCCTGCCGAGATTCTTAATTGAAGATACTTTAGGAAGTGATGCTAACCGACTAGAAATATTTGTAAAGCTCTATTTACTTTAATTGGTAATTTATTATTAACACTTAATAACTTATATTACATATTTTAATTGCCGATAATTTAGGAAGTGATTCTAGCCGACAATAAATATTTTAAAAACTATATTAACTTTAATTGAGAGTTTATTATTAATACTTAATAATTTATATTACGTATACGTATTATCAGGGATTACACATACTTCTTGAGCTTAGAAAGGGTTTACGTATATCTATAATAAATAGTAAAAAATGTTATATGTTCAACTGGCAATCTGTACTAGCAAAAATCCTCCATAAACATACCTCTTAGTTAATATTTCGCTCAAAAATCAAAGATTAGTCTGCAAAAAGCGAGCATCACTGGCTGGAAAAGCTGTGATTTTGGAGCGTGTCCAACACAGTTTGCTGACATCGTAAGACTCCGCCACCAGTGTAAGAGGTAATTGCTCCATTGAACTTTACAGCCAATGAGTTGTTATGAGTTGTTTGACCAGCAGCCAAAGCACAGGAGCTCAAATGAAGCGCAGACGGGGATTGCGATTGGGATTCCCTCGTCATGAACTCGCATCCTGCATCCTGCATCCTCCGCGTCCTGCAAACTGCAGTTGTATTTACAGGACATGCACACAGACACGCACGCCTACGCAAAGGCATTTTGCGGGCCATTTGCAATTCCGGGAAGAGGATGGGAATCCAGATGGGGATTTCAGCGGGGATTGCGGACTGGCAAATGCATTTTGCAACCGCAGCCACGGAACGGAACGAAACGTTTCTGCCACGGGGGCAAATGCAGTTGCCGGAGATGGTTACGTGAGGCAAGTCGCATTGGGGCAAATGCATCATTAACAAGAAAGGAACTGTTCTGAACATTGGGGAACGGAGCTCGAAATACCCTGGCAGTTTTGTATTGATAGGGTTGCACAACTGCTAAATAATGCTCTATGTTTAAGAACGATACTACAGAAGTGCCTTTAAACTTCAATAAAAGTTTATAATTGTCTAAGTATTCAATATGGTTTTCTTTAAATACATCAAGTTCTAACACTAGGCACTTAAGGGATTTCATCTTTTAAACGAATACCATTTGTCTGTCATAAAAATAGATATCTTTAGAGCTTAGAGGCTATTATACAAGGAATCTCTTTTAGATTTAGATAAATTCGTTTGGATATGCTTGCTTTGTAAGGACCTTCTTAAGCTTTAGTATACCCCTTTTCCGAGGGCATCGAATTGAGCACACACCATGAAGCGAATCGAATGGGCTCCAGCCACCAACGACCCAAAACGAATAATGTTCAGCTGTTTCGAAACGATATTAGAAAGCTACATGCCAATCGGGAGAGCGAAGCAACTCCAGCTCCTTTGGACATCACGAACGCATCGCTGAGGTCCTGTTGGTGCGGCGCCTAATCTTTGGTCCTTTGGTCGCTGCAGTTGCAGTTGCAGTTGCTGCCGTTGCAGTTGCACTTTCGGCGGGGAATGCAGTGGCATTAGTGGAGCTGCTGCGGCTTAGCCGGCTTCCTGGACATCGAGGACCAGTCAGGACCAGCCAGGATCGACCAGGTCCTTTATTAAGCCAAAGCCGATGTCAAACCTGCCTGGGCCCATTTGCTGTAATCGGGGACATAGAGGACCTGCGGACGCTTTGCTGTTTTTGCGGTTCTTGTTTGCGAATCGGCGAGGACGCAGGATGCAGTTAGTGGCGCTTAGGGGCATAGCTAATGTTGTTGCTGCCGCTGCATTTAAGCGTTACGCACTTCCTGCTGGCAATGTTATTACTTCCGTTGCCATTTAATTGATTTCGAAGGTGCGTTCTTGACTCCCAAAAGGGAAGCAGTTTGGCGGTAAGGAGCTCTTCCGCCCCATGGCCCATTAGTAAATTGTAGGTTAAGTGCTTTGCATGCGAAAGCCCAAAAGCCAAGCTTCCAAACCCATTTCCCAACCCATTCCCATTGAAAACGCATTTTTAGACGTTACACCTGTAAATAGCTTGTGGGAGTGGGGAAGTGGAGGTGGGAGTGCGGTTAAGGATGCGGTTTTTGGGCACTTTTTCGAGGCCCTGTTGCTGCCTGCCTGCTGTGACGTCAGCGCTATCCATGCGTAAAAGTTATTAGTGAAATGCACTCACCTGGCGGAAGAAAAGCAGAAAGCGGGAAAAGGCAGGAAAGGGAAAACTGCAGATGTTTGTTGGCCACGAAAACCTCAAACAGCACTTAAGTTGTTGCCAGCTGGTAGGTTTTGGTTTTCGGCTTTCGGTTTGCTTTACTTAGTGCACTTCTATGGGCAGGTGCACATCCCCATCCTCCCCTCCGAAATCCGGAGGATTATGAGGCACCCTGCCTCCTTCTAATAGGCTTAGCATGCATTTCCGACAGCGCTTCTCGAGAACTTTTCCTCAAGCTGCTGACGAGCGGAATTTAAATTCGCAATTACCGGATTCCACATCGTTTGTCACAGACACACGCGAAGCTGCGATTCTTGGCTTCTTCTGTAGATAATTGGATGCGAGTTTATATTTTCAGTCGAGAATGTGAGCGTACTTTCACGTGACTACCATGATTGATTCCCGACTCATCCCCAGAGACCCCAGCCGATGAGCCCCATAAATCGAAAACAGAATCGTACATCTGTATGTCTGGCTGCCGTGAAGCGACCCATTTATCCACGAAACCAAAAACTATTAACAATTTCGCCGCCGCCGCATCCAGGGCATTTCGAAAAACATTTGAAAATGAAACATGCTCCCGCTAATTGACTTCGAACCGCAGCATCCGCGATTGTTTCCCCATTAGCTATGATTTCTTTCGCCCGGAATACGATGGGTTATTTGTTATGGCTGTGGGTTTTTAGGGGGAAAGTGATAAGTGAGCTGCTATTAGTGTGTCAATTAGCGGGCTGGCTGCATATGATCCAGTTCACTTGGCTCACAGGTTCGCTGATTCTCCGTGGAATACAGCATACAATACACATGCCACACGGTATATGGCACATGGCATTCGGCATTCGGCATTTGGATGCCCGGGGCGTGAGAATTAATGCATGACTGGCACTGTGCGAATCTGTTTCAAGTACTCGCTGAAACCGAAAGTGGAGTGCTAATTAGCATGACTAACTAACGCTTTCATCTCTACCTTTCAGGGAAATCTGGACCACGGTCCTGCCGCCCGAAAGCAAAGATGTCTACACCGCCATTCTGGGCGTGACCAAGGCAATTCGGATAGACGAGGGCGTCTACAGCTGTAAGGTGAGTTGGTATCTTGGAGATATTGGAAAATGTATATCTCAAAAAAAATGAATTTTAGCTTGGAAGGAACCTCTTAGATTCTTTGTTAGGAAATGTAATTAATTAGTACCTTAGTATATTTATTTAAATATTTATTCTACCACAAAATAATATTCAACAGGAATATATTTTGTTTTCTTTAAATTTTAAACATTTTGTAATACCTTCAATATTAATTCCTAATAGATTAATATTTTTGTAAGATCAATATTCTATATTTTAATAAGTGGTTAGATACTTGTTAGGAAATGTAATTGATTAGTACCTATAGTATATTTATTCTACCACAAAATAATATTCTACATTTTATTTTCTTTAAATTTTAAACATTTCGTAATACTTTCAATATAAATTCCTAATAGATAAATATCTCTTAAGATACCTTTTCTATTTTTTTTTGAGTTATCTGTTCCTTCACACTTTTATAATTTTCATTTCATATTAAATTAGGCCAACATGGATTCCAGCCATCACGTCCGCATCAAAGCGTTTAAAATTTCCATGTTAATCTAAGCTGATGATCTGGTAATTCCACTTGGGCCTCTTGGTTTTTCTAATGATTCCGGTTCCCCGGGCGCTTTCAGGCCCCGGCAGACGCCCCATAATATTTTCAGCTGACTAATCAGTCTAATTGCCATATCATAGCGGCGCAGCATAGCAGAGCTATTCGGATCTGTCTGGGAAAACTGAAAAACCCCGCAGAAGGCCACATAATTACATTTGGCTTTGCTGCGTTCTGTTCACGGCTCTGTTCTTCATTTTCGCTATAACGTAGCTTTTAATTAGACTAATTAAAATATGGTAGACCGGCTGGAGGGGAGAGAAGGAAAAGGAGTGGAATGTGGCCATCGGATTCTACATCGGCATCCATTGCACTTGAATGGTCTTTCTCAGGGGCCAATTAAATTTTAATCTATGGTATTAAGCATTCTTTTGACTGCGGTTCCCGGCGATGAATTTACGGCTGCCCAAAAGATGATTTTAAGCCCCGCACTAAATAAGAGTTTTAAATTGTTCCGCACCATTAGACCCAAAACTGCCCTTCTTCTCCACATGGCCTGCCCCAAAAAATCCCGGCAATCCGGTAGGTTGGTCCTTTCTTTATGGCTTAGGTAATAACATATTACGCAAATGGCTTGTAAAAAATATTGGGCTGCCGTAAAGGAGGGTCATGGAAGTCCTTCCCTTGCACGTGAAAAGTTTCCCAAGAAAAGTTGGGGAGCTCCAAGTACGTGGACACATGACCAAGGCACTTGGCTGGCAAGTTAGTTATAAATCAAATGGTAATTTGATTGCCTGCTCACGGGAGATTGTAATAAAATGTTTACGTTTGTTGCGTATAAATCAAATTTGGAATTGTTTGCAACTCAATTGAACTTTGGCATTAGCATAATGCTTCTGATTTCGACTTCAGCGTCATTTTAGCCAGATTAAAGAAGGCGCCGGAACACTTTAATTCCGTAACTAGGGGGCTGCAACTCCCCCGTTTGGACCACAAAAAGCGTCAGCATCTGTTGCACCACCCAGCTGGCATTTCTTGGGGCCCGAGTCCATTGTATTTAGTGCCTGGTCCGAAGCCCAGCTTCCAGCTCTCCGAGGGGACTTTTGTTAAGTTCTTTATGGGGGAGCTGCCTTTGCCGCTTTGTGCCTTTGGCGCGCCTCGTGCCGCTCACTTATTATTGTCCCTGCGTCCCCCGTAATGACGCCCGCCAGATCAAAGGCAGGATGTCGGGTGGCAGGACGAAACGAACGCTTAGCAGCTGCAACAACGGAACGATAATCAGGAGGGCTGGACTCGGAACTCTCAGTCCCTGAAGGTCGATTGTGCCCACGTCTCGCAGCTGTTTGCTGAAAACTCGAGAAGCATGAATCCTTTTCAATAACACGGCCTCGAGGTCCAAGTCAATAAAACGCCTGCCAATGGCTCTGCTTTTGCCTTTTGCGTTGGGGACTGCATGTCCACGTCCATAACTTCTTCGCAGCACACACACACAAAAACCCAAACAACCACCCATACATTTCTAATGGGGGCGTGTGCCTTTCTCGCTTATTTATTATTTATGTATTGATATTAAGTATACGCCTTGTTGCAATTAATTCATTGGCCTTGGGGAGCGAGCGCGTCTTGGGTCCATTACGTGCACAATGGCCCAGAGCGGTGCTGTCTTTAAGCCGGCTGCATTAGCCCCACTTCTTAAGCCATTCCAGTTTTCGCCGAGCACGATGGGAGCTTAAGTGTTCTGTGGGTTAAGGGAGTAGTGGTTGCCATAGGACCACCTCAAAGCAGTATGAATTGCGGAAGGGGTCTTGGAATTATTATTACTACAGTGTGCCACTTATTTGTACTTTAATAAAGTTCTCTAACTACCTTTGAAAACCCCAAATATTCGTGGTTAAATTCTCAAAACCTCAATGCTGTCAATATCCATTAGCCTAATAAATGCTGGCTCCCGAATAACCTATTTTATGAACTATTAATTCCTTTGGAGTGTTGTTCATTGATCGGGAAGAGAGAGCAAAGAGCCAAGGATCCTGGCCAAAATGCTTAGCCATTTCCGGGGGCACAATGTGTTGTTTAACGACTTGGCCTGTTAATGAGACGCGACTTATCCGGGTCCAATAAAATACCATTTGGCCATAAAAGCGCTCTTCTCTTCCGGCAGCAAAGTTTTGCAGTCGGAGAACGTCGCAGCTTAATGAGTTAATTGGCATTCGGATTTTGTGGCCGGCAAGGATTTGTTGACGCTGCAGAGTCGTAAATGCCACTGCAAAGCCAACGGACATTTCCCGATTTTGGATTTAGGAGAGTGCAGAAAAAGAAGAAAGACGAAATTTAAAGCCGCCATTGCCATAAAAAAGCAACTAACCTTTGGCTTACACCATCGGGTGTTTCGCTGTCTATTAAATACTTCCGGATCGGCGGAGGCCAAGTGCCCGGGGGGCCAGATATCAGACGCGGATGCAGGATGCAGGATCTGGGATCTGGGAAAACCCAGCCAGACAAGTGCGACGATACCTTCACGGCGGCGACAATGATACCGCCTACTCGTTAGTTGTATCATTTTTTATTTTCCCCTCTGTTTTTTTCTTTTAAATTTGAAACGGAAGTTTCCTGAGCATCTGGCAGACTCGTGCCCATCATCCCCAGCATCATCATCATCATCATTGTTGACGGCGTGGCAACGTCTAGGTTTTTTCTCTACGACCCCACAAGCACTGCACTTGAAGAAACTATCTAACGTTAGGAAACTCATAGTACACAGAAAAAAAATTCACTAAGGATCAGATCGATATTTATAAAGATCATATGATCATTAGATTGTGTTCATATTATTTTTAAATATTTCTTCAAAAAATACTACATTTGGTACTTTAAAGCAGTTATTTTATAACTTTTATGAAATGATAAAATATCTAATTGATATGTTTGAATCATAAATTTGACATTAATCGGCTTTTTATTGATATGAAATAAGGTACAAATGACCCTATTTCAGATCGTTTTGTTTTTTGTAAAATATAAGTAGGGGAGAGTGGGGGAATTTCGTCACAGGGGCAATTTCGTCACCTGCAATATCTCGGAATCCATAAGTCGTAAAATTATATAATTTTTTTGTTTTAGTCCTTCAAGACGGCCAGACACAACCAATGCATTTGTTTTGCACAGAAGGCCAAGATAATTAAGCTATAATATTAAATGTGTTTTAACAGTTCAAAAGCTACATTTAGTTCTCGACGAAATTTTTTCTGTATGCCACAATTCAAAAGGAATAAGATACACGATTTTTTATATAATACACAGTGCTATAATGTGCATTTCTGCGTCAGTGATTTTTAACTTCGCGCCTAATTTCGGAAGAAAAATAATTATTTCTAAAAAAGTACGGTCTGGGGAAATTTCGCCACCCTACGCTAAGGGTAAATTCGCACCTATTTTAAATACATATTTTTATATTTGACGAGCTGGCTAACGAACAGACTACCAGCAGCAGCAACAAATATAGGACGTCAACAAAAATGGTACGCTCGATCAGTGTAACATACTTACAGGCGTAAAGTTCCCTACATTTTTCAGGTGACGAAATTTCCCCAGTTGTGTGGTGATTTTACCCCCCTATGTGGTGAGATTGCCCCAGTATATTGGTTTTACTTTTTAATTTTTTATAAATCACCAAGTTAATTAAAAAAATAGGGGAATGTCACATTTTAAAGCTTAGTGCTAACCGCATTCAACAATAAAAATAGAAATATGATAACGTGTCTCAAGATGGACAATAAATAGCTTTGAAAAAATGCTGACGAAATTCCCCCACTCTCCCCTATAATATAAGGCTTTACAAAAACCTTTTTCACAAATGAAATCTGGTTTTGTATAATTTTGAACACTTTTCCCATGCATATATATTCCTGTAACATTTTTTACGAGTGCAAAACTCGATGGTTTCCCAAAGGAGGAATGTGCAACAGCGGCGGCAGCTTGAACAAAGCAAGTTTACAATTCGTTTGCTTGCTAGCCGCGTGGAAATAAATAAATAAATGCAAAAGGTTGGCTCGAACCCACACGGCTGCACAGCGGCAGAGGCTTTAAGTAGCCATCGCCTCTTGGCCGAGCAAGTGGTCGTAAATACTCTGGCTCGTGTGGAGCTTCAAGAGTCCTTACGAGGAAAGCAAAGGCTTGTCTGGACATCGGACATCGTCTGACTTACCGTTCGAGTGCCTAGTCAAATACTAATCCCCAGCTCAATGCCTCATTCCCATTTTGTTGCGACAAACAGCTACATTCGGCCATCATTCCTTTCGGGCAGTTAAGCCTTTAAATTACATTTCATAAACTAATACACGAGCCTCAACGATATTTGCCGTTTGATTTATGACTGCATATCACATTCGCCGAAAGGCAAACAGCAGACCCAAGCAAAATCAGGCTCGTCATATCCAATCAGCACACAATGAGGTCTGGCCGACTAGCAAATAAGTCTATTAAACAAATCCTTGGGTGACAGCCTTCGGAGCTCAATCCAAGCCGAGGCTGGCCACAATTGTTTCCCTTGTCCGTGCCGACATGCATGAAAAGGACATCGCCAGGACGAGGCTGTGTGTGTGTCCTGCTCTCACACCAGGCTGTTGTCGGCCCCCAGTTATCGGGGATGCCTGGGCCATCGATGCACTGACAGCTGGGGTCGCAATAATAGTTCAAAACATACTTATATAATTTTTTGCAAAATTTTTAGAAATGCCAAGTTTATTAATGTGTAATATTTAGAAAACTACCAGTTGTATATTATTTGTTACGACATTTATCATTTACCAATATGAAATAATAAAAGTCTACATTTATCCAGGGGCTAACGCTAAGTCAAGTAGTTGGTTAATTAGCTATTAGGTTTAATATAATAAAATGCAATAATTTACCAATTTTAGATTGGTAACTTCTAAGTTAGTCTTAGGTTTGTCTCTAAATATTCGAGCTTTTTTTAAATAATAGTACATAATTATAACATTAACAAGAAAGACAAAATATGTTTGAAATTGAAATTTTATAATTTTGTTTTTTTTAAATGATATTTATCTTTAATTTAATTGTTATAGTTTCTGCATTGTTTTTATATTACTTTATAGAAGCTTAATGCAAAAGAAACTTTTACATTTTTTCCTTTAATTTTTTTGTGAACTATTTAAAACTCCCCAACTATAAGTGGTTCTTTTTCCTGACCACGTCTGTCCACCTCTGTTGATATGAGTAATCAAACCCATGGCATTATGGTCTGCCGCTGACAGGCGTTCCTTGTGGCCTGTCCCTTTGACTGGACTTTGTGTAATGAGCTCGACTGACCACCACCTCCTCCTCCGCCTCCTCCTCCTGCAGGTCACCGACTGGGGCGTCGAGCAGTGCCGCTCCCTGCACATCCACATCAAGTCCCCGCCCCGTCTGCGCGTGGATCCGGCGAGTGTGACTCTGCAGCGGGGGGACTCCCTGCGGGTGCGGTGTCTTTCGCCCGGCAATGATGACATCAAGAGGTACGCTCAGCTCGGCTACAGCTGGACCCGCAACGGGGTGCTCTTCCAATCGGACGCAGCGACGGCGATGTGGGAGGACCTCTATCCCGACGGCAGCATCCTGAAGATCAACAACATCCAGAAGTCGGCGGAGTACGCCTGCCTGGTGTCCAACAGTGTGCGGCCCGTGTCCCGGAGCGTCTACATCAATGTCATCGAACGCAATGCCGTGCACGTGTGTCCCACGGAGTCCACCTACGGCGTCCACTGGCCCACCAGTGCCCCCGGTGCTCCCATCATCACCGACTGCCCGCGGGGATTCGAGGGTCACCTGCGCCGCATCTGCGAGCAGCGGGACACGGGCAACTCCACCTGGCTGCTGCCCGACTTCTCTGGCTGCGTGAGGGACGAGCTGCTGCTCATCTACAACCGCTTCCTGGCCCTGAGCGCCGGCTTCCAGCAGACGAACTCCTCCAACATCCTGAAGGCCTGCTTCGACTTCACCCTGCAGAGGCGACACAGCTTCCTGCCCGGCGAGGCCAGCTTCCTCATCGATATGCTGCACGAGGTGAGTGGGGGTGAGGAGGTGAGATAACTATTATGAAGGCTAAACAACCCTTACCATAAATATTCAATCAGAAATGTGAATATCTTAGAGATTCTAAAGATACAGAACCTTAAAATGAATCTTATGTAAATAACCAATTAAAAGCAAATAACTTTAATTGCTTCAGAAATATGTAGGAAAAATTATAAACAACCCTTAACATAATATTATGGTAATACTGATTCCAAAGTTCCAAAACTATCGCTTTTCAGACATTATTAGACAAATTCCTTGGTAATAAAACATTCCTTTAAATGTCAGACATAGTCACTTTTAGAGTCTCCCCCCAAATATATAATTCAATTAGTTCCAAAATATCTATCCACATTCTCAACTGATTGGCAAACCACTGTTGGAACTGAAATTATCCCCAGCAAGGGTATAAATGTAAAAGCCGCCGAGGGAATGGCAATAACATTCCGGAAATGTGACAGATTTGGTTAAATTGGCCTAATCAAAATCGGAATTGCGATTCCCTTTGCGGCGTAATATCTTGTTGCCGCAAAACTCGGCAGACAAAATTCGGAACTCCGTTTTGAATCGTTTGTCCGTCTGCTGCAAAACCCTTAACACATTTAAGCTTCACCTGGAGTCTGGATGGCCCACTTGAAAGGACGGGCTCCTTGTAGACCGGTAACTATTTTTACACGCAAATGAATGCAAAATGCTGGAGAGCCGGGCGGCTTGCCATTTTTCACACAATTTTCGGTTGCCCGAAAACTGCAGTCAAAGAAAAGGAATAAGAAAAGTTCCAGCCTTTGGGGTCGTCGCCAGGCAACAATTTTTCATTTTAATGCGCACACAAATTTCCCGGCTAACGAATTGCCAGCAGGAGTTTGCTCCTGCTCCTTTTCCTCTTAGCTTTTCCTTGTATTTTACGCTGTCTCAACTCTGTGTTTCCTTGGCCACTTCACAGCTCGACACCTACCTGCAATTGAAAGGCACACAACTGGAGCGTGAGATGGCCGCGGAGATTATACTGCGCATCCTGGATAAAGTCATGCAGAATGCCCAATCCTTGAACAGTCAACAGGTAAGTGTCGGGATGGCAGGATGCCCTGCCTGCAATTGGGCATAAATTATGGCGAGTGTACTCCCATATGGAGTGGCGCCATAATTTATAACCTGCAGCCATATTCAATATTTGCCCTGCTATGGTTTGCCATCCCGTAGGATCTCCTCCACCCATTCGGGGATTTATTACGCCCGAAAACACACACACTCTTTTGGCCAAAAATCGAATCGAACTAGGCCAAAGGTGGGCTTTTTAGCCGGCAGCTTTTATTTAGCTTGTAGTTGGCCTGTCACTGGGCGGCAGCAATTTGCATACCTACATTTGTCTCCCCAAACCGATGCGATCCGTGTTCGGATTTCCAAAGCAGCCGGAGAATTGATGAGGCTGCCTGCCTGGTAATGAATACCTTTTTCGATATGCATGAGCTTGTGCATTTTTCCGGGTTTGTCTGTGGTGTTCCTGTGTCCTCTGAATGAGGTGAATTATGTGATTTCCTGAGCCGACAGTTCGTGCTCCACGTGCCGATTTTACTGCAGCGATAATTGGATAGACCTTTGGCAGATGGCAGATTACAAAATCAAGAATCCCCTCTACGCTCCATTTGGCTTAAAGAGAAGCAGGGCTAATAGAGTCCCCCCCGTTTGGAGTCTCGAAAAGGTGCTGCTAATGAGGGGCAATCAAACAATTTGCCCGCGACCCTCCGCAGGACAATAAGGATAACCACTTCCTTATCACCTGCGAAAAAGGCAGACACTTTTGGCCAATCTGAAGCCTCGAAACGGCTGTGAAAAGTGCGTTGCCTTCTCTTTCCCTTCTTTTTTGCATAATGGTGTTTTTTGGTCGCCCCGCCCGAGATTGTGGCTGCCATTGTTTCCGGCTCAACTGAGGATTTTGAAGGGCGAAGGAAGAGGGTTTGTTTGAGGCGCTTCTCATGTATTATTCCACCGCATAAAAGTGAAAGAGGCGACTGGCGGCGGGATAAGGCTGAAATTTGGGTATGCAAATTTATGAGAGTGTTGATTGCAACTGTTTGAATATGGCGAACGGGGGACCGAGGACCTGTCATGAAGTGAGGATAATTGGATAGCTCCCTTTCGGTAGTCGGCAGCTCATTGGACACATCTCCGGCATAATCTATTAGCCAACTGTCTGAGTGACTTCCCCATCACGGCCTTTAATATTCATCTTTTACGATCGGGGAAGTTTTCCGCCTTTTCCAACGATCTGTTTGCTTACCTCATAGTTACCGTGCAGCAAGGAGTAAGGAAAAACTTTTTAATGCGTATAAATTAATTTAGTTTCGCCAGACTTCGGCTGAGTTATGGCATTTCAATATAATGCGCCATGTGAGCCCGAAAGTCGAGAGCTCTAGAGCGAACAATTTATGTTAAATTTTTATTAGCTGACGCAGTCTGAAAAACTTGGCAGCATAATTGGGTCGATTAAAAAGCGTTGGCATTCGCTGGCCAACTTTGCTGAAGTTGTACAAATAGTTCGCCTCGTTTTTATTGACTGAGGCGCAAAGTTTAATGGAGTGAGTCGAATCGCGAATACCGAATCGCGAATCCCAAATCCCCCCGGCAAGTTTATCTAATTTTTCGCGCGAAATCAAGTTTAATTAGTGGATCGCGGCGGTCCGAGGAAATCCGTGAAAGTAATCAGCCAAGGCCGTCAACATTTACGGCATTCATTCGATGGCCCAAAGCAAAGGGAAAAGTTTTAAAGTTGAAAAGCAGAGTACACCCGAAAAAAACTTGATATGAAATGATGATCGTTTTGATGGTTTGTGGTATTAATTCGATATGCTCGAATTGTAAAGAATAGGCCAGTTCGAATTTCACATGTTTCCCTTCTCCCGCCATGTTACTTTGCTTTATTTTGAATTGAGACAGTTTATACTTCTTTTTAAAGACAAAGACGTTAAGAACGATATGCGTGTGCAATACCATCTATTTACCATGCGCATATCATTTGACCGCTACGTGTTTTTGTTTTGTGTAGTTGCATAAAATGACGCCAACAAAGCCACTTAATTCAACCAAATAAACTGCCATGTGTGTGGGAGCTTTTCTTTTTTTTTTTAATGCGCGAACGATGGCCTAAGCCTCATCAATATGTTGATAGATAGATAATAATAATCCCGAATGGAAATTTTTATGCTGGCATTTCATTTGCTTAAAACCAATTTCCATTCACGCCCAGCGAACTGGATGTCAAACTGGATGATCGGACAGCAGCGCCTCCATTTGCGGTCTGCGGAATTGTGAAAATGTGGAAATGGCAATTGAAAAAGTTTTTGCGGATGGAAAGCTGCTCATTTTTGGATGTTTGCAAAGCGAACGAGCCCGAAAAGTTGATTAAAACACTTGTGCATGAGTAGGAGTTGTGGATTTGCATAAGTTGGTGGTATTGACCAGCAAAGTTAACTCGCAACTAAACCGAAACGAAACGAACTCAACTGACCCACTTTTTTGGCTACAAGTTTCGATCGCTGGATGCTGAATGCTGAAAAGTGGGCCAAAAGCGCTTCCCATTCAAATCAAATCACGACGAATCACTTAGCCAAAAAGTATTCGCTGCAAACGTGACCCTAAGTCATGGCTCAACTTTCCGGTAAAAAAGTTTAGCTCACACATGGCCACGCCCCTTTTGGCCAGGAGGGGTGGAGGGGAAGGGGCGGCCAAGTGATTTGCCGGTAAACTGCTAAACGTGGCTAGGTCGAAAGTCAAGTGAAATTTGCACATGGAAAACTTTTTGCAGGCCTCCTTCCCTTTTCGAGAGTTTCTTTTCAGCGCCTTTTAAAGAAATCATACGAATGCCACACATTTGAATGGGCATCGGGTCGAGGGCGTGGCCGTAATCGGGGGCGTGGCACCCAGAGCTTAATGCTCTGATGATGCTGAAGTTTTTGATTTTTTCTCCCCGGCTCTGTGTTCAGAAAAGTTCCATTACAACAAACTTTTCCAATTGGAATTGTTTTCGCTTTCGATTAGTTGCCCGGAACATTTATGCAGAGGAGCTCACAGTATGTTTGTATCTTATGTAAAAAATGCGAATGCGTTGAGTCCGATGTTATTTTTGATTTGTGCAGGAAATACTGCCGATACTGAGTTACAAAATTCTACTGTGGAGTGGACTCCCAAAAGCAGAGGGCTTTGCATTATAAATTGCGAAATTCGAGTTTCTCCCTCCACACACATAATACACATAATGGCTTTGGCATTACAAATTGCGAGAATCGAACGTTATAGTTGGGTTACAGTCCTGCCTATGGTATATTGGCCTCGGTTTATGGCTTTGTAACTGCACTCGAGAACGGAGCAATTTTATGATTTTTATGGCCGGGTTCGTTGACTGCGCTTTCTGCGCTTTGGCATCCTGAAAATATGCCACATGGCCAGCGGCAGACCGACTTGGTCCTGCTTCATGTTTCCCCCAGGGTTTCCCCCCTCTCTGTGGCATTGATTTCGGCCAAAGTTCATCGCCGGACTCCATTCGATTGTTGTTGGCGGAGGTTTGTGGATGGACGCCGGGTAAATATAAATATAAACATGGCATATGCCGGGGTCTTATCTGTATTACCTATCCTTCATATTGAAGCAACGACAAGCAGACAAGCGCTTGGATTTCAGCCACACTTGCAAAAATAGGTTTCGTTTGCCGGCCAAATATAGAGGAATAAATAAACAAATACAGACTTATTTTTTGTGGCAAGAAAAGCTTGTTTTTATTAAAATACTTGTGCCTGGCTCAGGAGTAAGAACTTAATATATAAATGAGTTTGTTTTGATTTTGTGATTGAGGAAAGTGCAATCACATTAAATCGCCTCAGGAATTTTGTTTTTTGGGTTTTAGTTTTATCAGGTTATCAAGTTTAACTTTAAATAAAATATATTTATTTCTTCTTAGATTTGAAAACAAACACATTTTCTTTTTCTACAAATTCTTTACTTTAATCAGGCCATAAAAGCTAAAATTAAAAAAAAATGTTTTTTTTTTATTTTGTATTTTAATTATATTTTTTTAATTTTATATTTTTTTATTTCAACCTTAAAATTATCTCTATTTAAAATTAATTTTTATTTTACAAAGCATTTAATTAAATATTTTTGAATGTCATGAGCTGTTTTGAAAAATATGACACCCAAACATCACCGACTCTTGCGTTTTTCGCCACACATGGATGAGTGGATGTGCTGGCCGAGGCCATTATTTACCCATTCGCTTCTCCTTTCAGCAAATTAAAAAGCTGCAACAGCTAACGCAGTCGGCGGCGCTGAACCGCGAGACCATCGCGGCCTCCCAATTGGCCACCTCGACCAGCGGCAGCAGCCAGCCGTCGGCGGGCGACAGTTCGACCCGCGGCGACGATGGCAGCGGGTCAGGGGTCGCGGCAGGTGAGATTTCCGCGGCTCCTGCGGGCAGCAGCCTGCAGGCAACAAGAGCCGGCAGCGGAGGAGGTGGAGGCGGAGGAGGACCTGTACCGGGAACTGCAGCTGGAGCCTCGAGCATCCTGACTGTCGATGAGGACACCCTTTCGCTGGACAGACTGAACTCGCTGCGCATTTACATGACATCGGTGAAAACGCTGCCGTTTAATTTACGCATTTACGGGTGAGTCGGCACAGTCGCAAAAACAAACAGATAAATGGCCTCTAAAATGAAATCAGATCGGAGAGCCACCGAGTTGGCTATAATTTCTAATTACGAATGGGGCGAAATGCAAATTTGCAACGCGAGTAAACAGTAAACTTCATTTTACGGCCCCTTGATTAATGTATGCGACGAAGGAAAAGCGATTTCCTCCCTCACGCCAGAGGGCTCTTAATGGAAAATTTATTTTATGAGCAAACATAAATAAAAAATGCATAAAACAGGCGAAGACGAAGAGGTGCGGAGGTCGTCGTGGCATGAAGAATGGCTCATAAAAGTGAAAGAGCTCGGCGAACTTCTATTGCAGCCAGAACGAAGGACCTTGTCGCTTCCGGACAGGTATTTCCATCTTGCCGGCTCTTAGGTTCCTACCTTCTTAGGCTCCCCGGTTTCCAAGTGTCTAATTTAGCTAATTAAGTGCCTTAAGTGCAGGCGACTACAATTTGCCTGATTTACGGCGGCTCATGCATTTACCCCATACCCATTCATTTTCTTTTCTTTTCTCTGCCAGCGAGGATTTGTTTTCGGACCAGCTCTACATGGACATCGGACTCTCCGGCCGTCTGCTGCACATCATGGCCAACTCGACGATATTCGCCTCGGTCATCTCGTACAAGAATCTCAAAAGTTTCCTCCCGAAAACCTACTACACGCGTGGCAGGTGAGTTCGAAAAGCGCTACAAATTTCCCGATTGCCTCGCTTAATTAGCTCCTGATGGCCGTGAAGGCGAGAGTTCAACAAAAGTTCCGAAATTTAAACGCTCCTTTAGTTAAGAGAAGAAGAGTTAATGCTGCCCATGTTTAATTCCCCGATTTAAATTCGAGGCAGCCGGCTGCCCAAGAAAGTTGTCTTGGCTAAGTCCCGGCTTATGGCCACCGATGTATAATTCGTAAGCCATGTTTGCCTAGTCCTCAAATGTGTGTAATGCCAACTGCTGTCACTCCCGCCTCCTTGGGAGGCGACAAGATGGCTCCTTGGCTTAAGCGCATTACAGCCAGCTGGAAAACACTAGCAACAATACCACAGCAACGAGTGTAATTCCCCAGCTGTAAACAAAATGCAAATGTGCAGCTGCCGGGAGAAGAAAAAATGGGGAAAAGTGGGTACATGAAATGCCAACACAGTTGCCATCAAATCTTGATTATGGCCCATAAAAGATGAGACAGACGCTAGATCTGATTAGCAGAAACTTCATACATTTCATCGGGTTTGTAATATGCTTTTTATTAACATCGAGGAATGAAGCGAAATAAACTTTTAAATACAAATAGAAACAAGAGAGAACGCTATAGTCGGGTTGTTGTCCCGACTATCTAATACCCGTCACTCAGCTAAAGGGAGTGCGAACGCTGTGTCGGGTTGGTGTCCCGACTAATAATCATAACTCAGCTAAAGGGAGTGCGAGGGAGATAGATATATAATTTTTGATTGCGTATAACTTTTTAATGAATGGTCCGATTTGAAAAAAGTCTTCTACATTTCGATAGGTATAAATATACACAACAAAATTGCATTTATACTTTTCGGAAATCTTTAAAGATGTGGGCGCAGGACCCATTTTAAAATCGTTAGTGGGCGATTGTGGGCGTTAGAGGGGGCGTGGCGCTCGGCTAAAATAAACTTGCGCTGCGTAGGAAGCCAAAGAATATGTGGGGGAAATCTCAACCTTCTCGCTTTTGTAGTTTCTGAGATCTCAGCGTTCATACAGACGGACAGACGGACAGACAGACAGACGGACAGACGGACAGACGGACAGACGGACATGGCTAGATCGACTCGGCTAGTGACCCTGATCAAGAATATATATACTTTATGGGGTCGGAAACGCTTCCTTCTAGCTGTTACATACTTTTGCACGAATCTAGTATACCCTTTTACTCTACGAGTAACGGGTATAAATATAAGCAACTTGAGGAAAATCAAAAGAAAGAAAACGCAAATATAAATGAGGATAATTTTATAAAGCGTTTTGCTAGGATCGTAAATATTATTTAAAATATTTAAAATATTTTTTTTTGAAAATAGGTAACTTACAAGTATTCATATTTATTTGAATTAATTATAATAATAACTGATAATTTTAGTCTTTCTGATTCATGATCTAAATATTTGTAATAAATTTATCTTTTAACACTTTTCCATTTAATAGCGATCCCAGGGACTCGGATTACGTTCTCGCCTCGCGGATCATCCAAACCTGGCTGTTCCAGTCGAATCGCTCCAACGATAACTTCCGCGAACCCCTGGACCTGCCCTTCGAGGCTGGTCACGTGGAGATAATCTTTCAGCATGAGAGCGTCCCCAAAACAGGTGATTGGGTGGCCGTTTGTGGGTAAGTGAGATGTGGAGGAAATCCATCCCTTAATATACTATTGAATCCCTTTTCCCACGATACAGTCACGACTACAAGGCCTCCTTCGACTCGACGTGGCGATCGGATCTGTGCATCACCAAGCACCTGATGGCCAACATAACGCGGTGCATCTGCCCGCTGTCGGGAACCTACGTGGTCATGCTCACCAAGCGGCAGCCCAATGTAAGCCAGGGTCACCAAGGTCGCCAAGGCCACTCAGATGGCTTGCCCAGGAATTGCCATGGAATTTAGTTGCCCAATTCATGCAATTCACGTGTACCAAAGTGGAAAGCCCCCTTTGATTTATGGCCACTCTTAGGTGCTGCCATTTAGTGGCCTCCACCTGGGGTGGCCACGCTTTGTGCTGCCCCAGCGTCCGCATTTCCGCTTCCCTTGCTCGCAATCAACAACTTGGCCTTTGCCGCCATGAACTTGCTCCAAATTCACTCGCTTTTTCTGGGTTTCGCTTCTGTATTTTGTATTTCGCATTTCGTATTCCGTATTGTGCTGGCTGCATTCAGTCACAGCGGAAATACTTTAAATCAGGGCTGCAAAGCGATCCAGTAACCCAGGGGGTTTTATTAAAGGGCTTACTTGGTTTTTAGTTTGGTGGATTTATTCATTTTGACAGCTTACCTAATCTTAGAAGATATATGAGTATAAACTATTTAATTTTGGTTTCTTATTTCATTTATATCTCTCAGAAAAACCATTAAATATTGTTTAATAGATTTTAAATAGAATTCTAATTTTAAGATTAATTAAAGAATGAAGAGCAATTAGTCAAAATATCCATAGGTTTTACATTTATAAATGGATTTTAATGCCTTATTGATTATGAATTAAAATAACTTGTAAGGAACTGTTTTCTTTTTGATTAGAAATTTGTGGTATTTTCCTATTTATTTATTTACCCCTTAATAATAGTTTTTCGATTAAATATTTACTTTTTCTTATACCGGAACTGCCCCTAAAAATTTAAAATAAATTTTGTTCCTTTATATTAAATACCTAAAAAAAACGATTCTGTCCATTTAGGCTGCATCCCTGTCCCAAATTTAAATTCGGTCGATTGTCGGCGGCAGCCTGCCAAGGCGAACAGCATTTTGGCCGACTTTAGCCTTCGTTTCGACGCTAGTTTGAATTGCTAATTGTTTTCTGGCTCTCGCCAATCCCATTTCCATTTCTCTTTCCAGGCCACCCCCTCCCACGCCCTGCGGCGCCCCATCTTCGTGATCGCCAGCTGCGCCTGCTGCCTCCTCCAGTGCGGATCCGCCCTCCTCATCCTGGTGCCCATCTGGTGCAATCGCAAGTGCGCGGTCACGTTCCTCAAGATGCAGTTCTGCGTCTCCACGTCGAGTGTGATGCTCATTTACCTGCTGGGATTCATGAAAATGCTGCCGGTGGTAAGTTATTAGAAATATATATTCACAATTTGTTCGAATAAGCTATTATTATAATAATTACATTTTTAAAATCAAAAATAAATAAAAATAATAATAATAAATTGTGAGCTAATTTAGAAAACATAAATTATAAAAATAAATCATATTAAAAGTTGGTTCAAATGATTATAAGAATTTTTAAAAAGCAGGCATAGTTAACTGTAATATATTTTAAATCGCACTTGATTTTTTCTTAAATGTGGTATATTCCCACCATTGAATATTTAAATGCGCCACGAAAAGCAATCCTTTGGTGCAGTTAAATGCGTTAGTGTTATGCGGCGGCCCTTTAAAACAAAGCCTTTGAGACGCTGCACTGGGAACAAGGAGAAGGGAACCAAAGCGTGAAATTTAATTACGCCAAAATAAATAAACAAGTAAAATGGAGGAAAGCCAAGCTGAAAGCAAAGCAACCCGAAAACCAAAACCAAACATACATTCGGCGGGAACTCAGGCGGCGAGGAGAGCAGAAGGGGAAGTCGGAAAAGTAATAACAAAAAGTGTTGCATGATATAAGGCGAACGAACGAACGAAGGAACGCCAGGCAATCGAAACGAAACACAAACGAGTTTCCACACCCACACCCCTTAAAGTTGGGAAATCCCATCGGCTTAAGCTAGCAGGCCAAAAAACCCTTAAGTTGTAATTATTTGCGGTGCTGTCTGCTCTCCGGCAATCAGCAAGTTCGAGCTGGCTTTTCAAATAATAATCACGGCCAAGGCAAAAATCTGTAATCATCATCAAAACAAATTAGCGTGTCGTTACCATACCATACTATACTATAAACCATGCCATTCCAGGAATTTCTGGAGGTCGGGAGGTCGGTGGACAACAAAGCAAATAATTTACATTTAGTTTTCGTGGCAGCCAAACGGAAAATTCATGGAAAACAATTCCCAAACCTGTTGGCGTCGCCCTCCTTCGAAGGAAATTAAAAGTCAACAATGCACGACGCCGACTCCGAGGAGCAGGAGCAGGAGGAGGTCCTATGCTCGGAGGTCAGGTGGAAGGATCTCTCTCCTTCCGAGGAGCCCGGCTCCGAATCGAAATTAATATTTATAAACGCACACTCTCAGACGTTTGAAGTGGGAAAATGTTAACGGGGAAGACGCTAACCCGAGCGCGTTATATACGTATGTCTGTATGTAGATGCCCGAACCCATTGGCCAAGGATCCGTGGAAGTCCCCAAAGCACCCGCAAGCCGTCCAAATTATAAACGTAAAACGAAAAAAGCATAAGCGAATAAAGTTGCGCTGCCTAATCCCCGGGGGTCGTGAAACGCCTGGCGAAAAATGCGAAAAAAAAGTAACTGCAAAGCTCTAACAAGAAATAACATTTTTGAATTAGTAATAAACTGGTCCGCAGTGGAAACAACGGCTCAATAAACGAATGAAAAACAAATAAAACAATGTGTACGACAACGAGGAGACGACAAAGACGCGGGCACTTGTGGATAAGGATTCAACTGGGGATGCCAGGACGCAATATGGAAAGGTTTGAGCTTTTGAGCAAGGGAAAATGGAAAAGGAGGGACACTCGGAAAAATGCATTGAACAGATGTTATGCCAAATTGGGTTCAAAGCAATTATCAAAACATTTTAATTGATTTTTATGCATCTAAAAAAGTTCTGGAAAGTTTTTACTTTCGTAGGAAGAAAATGTGGCAACTTCTTTCACACTTTGTAACTTATTCTTTAATTGTCCGTTTTAATCGAAAAGTATTATTATGCATTTTGCAAATAAAAGAAAAAAAGGCAATTATTACATCTTATTATACTTTAAGCTTAAGAATCTATTTAGATCCCTAATAAAAAATCAACATTAGAGAGTCTGTAATTTTAATTAATTAATCAGTTTTGTTGATATAACTTATGAATGAGGTTTAATATTTTTACACTAAAAGAGCATTTACGAAAAGATTCCCTAAATGAAAAATCTAAAACCCCAAATCCTTTGAAATTATTATGTAAAAAGTAAATTAAAATGTAAAGTAAAGTAATTACCTTGAAGTGTTTCTATGCTTAGGCGATGACATTTTCTCGCCGTGCTGCTCCTGGGAAAATGCGCCTTCTCGAATCGCTGACAAAGGCAAACGACGATGACGATGTGCCGGCCTAGGCACAAGGATGCGAATTGTGAATGCCTGTGAATCGGAGCGTGGACGCCACATTCGGAGGATGTTTCGCTATCTGCATCGACATTTTTGCCGCACGCAACCCGTATTGCGTCTCAAAGGATTGCAATGAAGGAATTTTTGAATAACGAACGTTTGTGCTAGAGAAGCAGCCTGTGTTGCTGTCCCCTCTTCGGATTCGGATTCGGATTCCGACTACGGACAATAAAATAATCCTGGCATAGGCTGGCCCCTGGCACAATGCGGACTTTCCTCTGTTGGCCAAGTTAATGAGCAACTTACGTCAGTGCGATGAGTTGCACAATGCGCATTTCGCATTTCGCGGCACTTTGCAGGCTGCCAAAAGCGCCAGAGGGAAACTTTGTCTTAATAACACAACGCGCACACACACTTGTTATTATTATTATTATTATTATTGCACATTAATTGCGCACACACGCGGCCGGGGCAACTTTATTAAAAAGTACCACACCCGAGAACATGTGCACACATGCAAATTTTATGGTTTGAAACACGTGTCACAGCGGCAGGATCGCAGGAGCAAAGGAGCTGGAGAAACGAAGACGCGGCTGCCATCGGCGACGGACGTCAACCGCAGCCACCAGAACACCCGACCACGACCACGCCCACGCAATGCCACAATAAATACAATTAAAATATTCATTTTACTTATTGCATATATTTGCGAGCATAAATAAAATACAATTTCAGCACGACAGTTAAACGGAACGACAAAAAAAACAATAAATAAATAAGAAAACATAAATTACGCATACGACCCGTGCGCCCTAAAGGCAGACGAGGGGCGCAAGGGGCGTGCCACTGCAGCAGGACATGTGAAAGGCGAAAGCTTTTAAGCGCACTTAACTCATAATTTTCCCCGGCGAACTGACGGGGTGGAAATATTCGTATTCGCGTTCGTATTGTAAATTGAAAATTAAAAAGTTGACAAAATGTTTTCCTCACATTTGGCCCCGAAGGCTACTAAAGATGATGAGTCGTCTGTAGACCTCACTTTAAGTTTGTGTTCAGGAGATAATTTGGTCTTGTATTTAAAGGTAGCAAGGTGTTTTTTGACTAAGAATTAATTTACTAAAAAAAATAATAAACGCGAATTCTCTAGTAAAAGTGAACTTTGTCAAATAGTAAATATAGGTACCCCAAAAGCTATTAGCCATAAGATTCAGTTATAAGGCCATTTAAGATGCATGTTTCAGGAGATAAGATGGTCTGGTACTCAAAAGTTCCGAGGTGTTTTTTGCTTAAGAATAAATTAAAGAAATCATAAACGCGAATTCTTCAGTAAAAACGAACTTTGTCAAATAGTAAATATACCCAAAAAGCTATTAGCCATAAGATTTAATTTTAAAACCATTTAAGATGCATGTTTCAAAAGATAAGATGGTCTGGTACTTAAAGGTACCGAGGTTTTTTTGTCTAAGAATAAATTTAAAAAATCATAAACGCGAATTCTTCAGTAAAAACGAACTTTGTCAAATAGTAAATATACCCCAAAAGCTATTAGCCATAAGATTCAGTGTTAAGGCCATTTAAGATGCATGTTTTATTATGCTGTATTTCCTGGACACCGGTTCCTAATTGGCCATGAAAGCGGGGTCCGAAAAATAATGTTGCGCAAATTGTTTACAACTTTGTAATAACCAATGTCCAATCACCGAAGCGCAAGAAAAGTGTAATAAAAACTTTATGCCAAAATGTCACCATTAGGGGGTGTTGCAAAAAATCCCACAAAATGGCTTCTTTGCTGCTTTTGCAGCTTTTGCTTTTGCCGCTGATGCGGCACGATGACAACTTTTTATATTTAATTAAAAATAACGATGTTGCAGCTCAGCCGTCAAAGCACTCCATTTCCTTATTAACGGCCGTTCATAATTTCCTCTTGCAGAGCTGGCACGGCGTCATTAGCAGCTCGCTGGCCTCGCTACTCTTGCTGGGCATCTCGACGCTGATTGCGATTGCCCTGGCCATTCACACGGAGCTGATGCCTCGGAAGTATCTGCATCTGCAGCTGCAGCAGGCCAGCAGCAAACCGGGGACGCCCACTAAGCGCCGCCTGGAGCGGGAACGAGAAGCGGGACACCGGGAGCGGGAACGGGAGCTCGAGAGCTTGAGCAACATCACGCAGATCCGGTCTCAGTCGCCTCTGGGAGGTAGCTCCTCCTCCAATCCCAGCCAGCGTCGCCCACCGCCCATCAGTTCGGCGACAGCGGGAATGCGTGGCGCCATCGGCATCAGTTGGCTCCTACCGCTCCTCTTCGCCGTGGCCGCCCCGCTAATCTGCAGCATCATTGGCCAGTGGCCGCGACACTGGTGGCTGGAGGTCCTCTGGACGGGATCTCCGTCCCCGGATGCCAGCGCCGCCGGCAAGGAGGAGGAGGATTCTGGAGCCTTCTATTCAACTCACTCGCTCTTCAATGGCGATAATTTACTGCTGGGAGAGATGGGAAATGGAACGAGCAGTCCGCCAACAGAGACATCATCATCGAGCATTCAAGGAGTCGATGAAGATGACGATGATGCGGCCACGTCAACGTCATCAATCACGGCTATGGGAACTGCAAGCAGCAGTGGAGTCAGTGGATTCAGTGGTTCTTGGAGAGGCACTCCCTCCTCCACCTCCACTTCCGTTTCCGCGCTGGCTGCGCCTCTAACTTCCGGTCTGAGTGACGCCTCCTCGACAGCTTCGCCCTCTTTGAGCTTCATTCTGTTCGTCTGCATCGATCTGCTCTTCGTCCTGCTCTTCCTGGCCCTGTTTGCCATTTTAATGAAGAAACTTTTGTGGTTGTGGCACAAGAATCGCAATGTGCATACGCATCCGTTGGATAAATTCAATCTGGCTTTGCGGAGGCGGTAAGTCGAAAAAGGCTCTCTCTTTCTTGATGGTTCAAAATGGAAAATGGCAAAGAGATAACAACAGAAGAGACTCGAGGGGAAATACTTAGATTTTAATGACCACAGTACTTTTTTCTATCTATTTGCCGAGTTTCCACTTCGTTCTGTCTAAGCTAATCTGATAAAGAAAGAAGGAAAACCCATAACAAAACCCTACTCTTCCTTCCTCCCTCTAATTTAATGTATTCGCATAGATTCGGATTACTCTACCGGGCGGGCGGACTGCTCCTGGCCAAAATCTGCTGCGACGGACTCTTCATCGCTTATGTTAATTCATCACCGGATACTTTGTGGGCATATCCGTTCGGCATATCGTGCATATTATTGGTGAGTGCGGGGAACCGTTTACATCCACTTAGTAACCAGGTGGACCAGCAATTGAAATTCAATTAAGCGCACCGATATATATATATCAGCTGGATGGGATTAAGCCTGGATGTTTGATGGGGAAACCAATCCCATTTGCCGCTCCATCGCATCCAAGGGGTGCGCAACTATTAGGGGCAACATCAAATGTACCGCGGAGGCTTATGCAAATCGCATTTTCGCTTTCGCAGCGTTTTTATTTCCAACGACTTATTTAAGTTGCATATTTTATCAAAGTGTAAAGCCTGCATATTTTTACACCTACACCTGCTGCCGTCGTCCGAAATTATGCATGCAAAATCAACTCGGAATATGGGCGGTTGAAAGCGAGAGTGGGCGTGGCAGCAGACTGCATTAACTGCCTGATCAAAGAGAAAGAAGCCTTTTCGTGTTTATTCTGCCCTTGGCTTTGGCACTTGACTTCGGTTTCCACTTCGCAGCTGTTATTGTTTGCTTTTTATTCCACTTCTCGGTGATTTGCTGTGCAAATGAAATAAGTGCGCTCGACTTATCCACCTGCCACTTGAGTGGCATCATCTTCAGGTGGCAGGAGGCACCTCTTCGAAATGGTATATATTTTTTATATAGCCATTAAATCGCTTAACGCTCTGCGCACGCCCAGCAATCATCTCAATCCAATTAAATAAACAATTATCTGCATGGACGGAGGCATCGGGTGGCCCTAGTAGTAGTGTATCCATCCTGTGTATCCTGGCTAAACTAATCACATAATTACACGCACACACACTTTGATGTGGGAAGCCGGCAAGTGAGCGCGTGTGCGTCCTCCGTACCACTCGGCGTATACGCAATATACTAAACGCACACGGCACATTTAAATACAAACACAAACAAATTAGGTCGATCCACCGCCCCCTTGAATCCAAACCACAATGTCTACAACCCTCTCAATCCTGCTGGTCCACGACTATTAATGTGCACCAAAATCACTTTGATTGTGGGCGTCTGCTCTTGCCGTTTAATTATTTAAACAGTGGCCAAGACACAGACTGCACACGAAGAAAAACATGTGTGCGATGAATCATTGATTTGAAATTAAAGAGGCTATTACGTAGTAATGAAGGAATCATCATCATTTCCATGAATGAAGTTGGTTGTCTTTCATTAAGAAATCGTTTATTGCCCCTGAAACTTGAAATAACTACTTTAAAGTTTGTTTCCATTTGATATGTGTTTTTAAAGGCTAATTAGGTAAATTAGATTTTCAATCTTCCACCAATCATTATTTTGTTCCTTAAACATTCCATCCCTTAAACAAGAAAAATGTTTATTTCTCAACGAGACCGTAATCCTTTGATCGATAGAGTATCTCATTTCCCTAAAAAAAAAAATAATTAATAAAAAGCAAAGAATTTTAATAAGATTTTCTTATTATCTTCTCCCTGTGTATTAATCCCCTTCCAAATATTTAAATATCCCTAAGGAGCATGCAAAAGGGAATCGATACGATTAGAGCAATTCAGTAAGAGTCTTTTGCTAATTTCGCAATTAATTTTGTTCGAAAATCCAGGCCTGGAATTTGGAGCATGTCTCCCATAAATTGTGCTCATGAAAGAGGGACATAATAGCCATGCATGCAATACTATGTGAGGCCCATATGGTTTGGCCTCGATTTATGGCCGCCTTTTGGTCATGCATTTAATTTCCCGATCGCTTGGCTTGATTTCCCCACCTTTAACCGTAATCGAAGGGTCTTCCGTGGCTTAATGACTCCATTCGGGCGACAACCCATCCCGTTGACAAGCGAATTTTATTAGGGTCAGCCTCCGGTTTATGCCAATGATTCAATCGCCATTCCAGGGCTCGGCCATCCTCATCTGCTTCGTCATCAAGGCCGAGAGCCAGCTGCGAGGACCGCCCTTCCTGGGCAGCAACGGGAGCAGCCAGAGCAGCTCGCTGAAGCAGGCCAAATTCAATACCAGCAGGAGCAGTCTGGACGAGAATTACTGCACCACGACGACGACGGCCAATGTGAACAGTCCGCTGAGCTGTAGGTTATCTCCCATGGAATCCCCTCCAGCTTTCCCCTAATCCGCTAGTCCATTTCTTTGCAGTCTACACCAACCACGACAAGGAGAAGGAGAACGACTGCGCCGTGTCCTTGTCAATGTCCAATGCAGGCGTGTCCGCCGCAGCAGTCGGATCCTTGGCCTCGTCAGCCGGCCAGTGTGCCCCGCCCCTGCAGTCGAAGGTGGGCCTGGAGCTGTCCGGAGCACCGGGATCTGCCGGTGTTCCCCTGCCGTTGACAATCATCTCGACGGCGCCGCGCTGCCAGTCGGGAGGAGCAGATGGAGCGGCCGAGTCCTTCCTGGGCGACCGCCAGACCCTCTCGGTGGCCCCCTCGCCAGACACCCGTTGCTGCGCCCTTTTGGGCGGCGGCCCTGCCTACGATGCGTATACCATGGGCATGGGTGTGGGCATGGGCGTGGGGATGGGCGGACTCACAGGAAGCCTGGGGAGGCGTACGTTGCATCAGCAGCCGACGCATTATCGCCCCGGACCCTGCGGCGAGTTTGTGGGCGTCGAGACGCTCGATATCCTGCAGGGCGTGGCAGCCGGTAAGTGGACAGAGAGAAAAAATTAATTCATTTAATTTAATTATGATTATAAACAGAAAAAAAGAGAAGATAAGAATAACAATCTTATGAGATTTTTAAAAGCTTAAGAGATTGAATTTTACTTTTTGTATTTCTTATTTTTAAATTAATGTATGTATATTAATATTAGTACCGATTTTCTTATTAATTTAATTAATAATAACTCAACTAAAGAAAATAACTAAGGAAAACTTATTAATTTAATCAATAATAGCTCCTCTAAACAAAATAACTAAGAAGTGGATAAGATTATAAAACAAAATTTAATAAAATCATAAAAAACATAATTTTTTAGATTACGATTTATTTATTTATAATAGCCATTTAACTACATAATTGTAAATTTCTTGTTTTTTAATTTAATATTTCATTTATTCATTTTTTTAATAACTTATCCAAAATACAAAAACTGAAGGAAGTGAAGAACATTTATAGAAGATTTCATAAAGTCAAAAGAAATATAATTTTTTGTTTGGAATTTAATTCTTTTTAATTTATAATAATAATCTTGATTTTAATACCCATATTGCTAAGCGAGTTGCTCTCGGTGCAAAAGCAATATGGACAAACACTTGGAGGATAAGGCCAGATGGTCATGCATTATTCACGATCTAGTTTCTGATGACTACCCCCTCTTCCCTCTGCTCCTCTCCTTGCAGACAGTATAATTGGCATCCACACCAGTGCGATAATGCCCACTGCCACAAGCACTTCTCATTATGTTCCGCTGCAGCATAATCCCTACGTGGACTTTGTGCCCAGCTCCCTAATCCTCAGCATGGCGCCACCGCCGACCATAAGCGGCAACCTGAGTGGAGCTGCGATGCCAGGGATTCCGGCGATGTCCCTGCCCACCCAGACGCCGAAGACGCAGAAGCGAGTGACCATCCTGGAGCCGACGTCCCACGCGACCTTTGACCCCCTGCTGCCCACCATGGTGGCTGCGGTGGTCTCCACCTCGACGGTCACCAGCACGGCGACCACGACCCCGGCCACGCCCACTGCCACGCAGAGTGGCAATGCCAATGATGCAACTCTGGATCGCATCACCCTCGATCTGGACTACCTGCTGAACAGGGGGGCAGTGGATGCCACAGAGAAAGGTGGGGTGCCACCACCAGTGACCAGTGAGGATGGTCAGCAGAAGCAGCAAAAACAATAGCAATATCCCCGACACTAAGATGCATTTAAGAGGCTTCGTTTTTCTATCGAAACGTGTAAATATATGTAAATCAAATTCCACAACTAAACTACAGTAGAGATCTCTGTGAATATTCATGTATGCTTAACGTAAGGATAACAATCAGTTGAAGTCCTGGTCCTACCCAATACTTTATCAAATGAGCCCATCCAATCCTAGTTTTCATTGAACCTCCAGAAGGCCAGGTTTAAATGGATCTTTAGTTAAAAATAAATTCATGAAATGTTCCAAGTCAATGTCTTTTAAAGTGATTTGGACACTAATCATAACTAGTCTCATATTTAGAGTAAAAATTTATATTTACGTCTTTGCATATGTAAACAAATTGAAAGAATTTAAAACTAATGATAACTTTTTAGCTAGATTTACAAAAGCCTATTGAAGAGAACACAATGAAAATGAAAATGAAAATTAAAGAGCGAGAACACAGTAGGGTGTGAAACATGTTTTTGATTCCATTTAAAGTTTCCTAGAATTAAAGCAAAATTAAGCCCCATTAAGAGACAAAGATAAAAACCTACAAAATACAATAATTGTAAAACTAATAAACATAACACAGGACTATTTCTGGAGCAAAAACAAATTATACAGATATATCTTTAAATAAACTCAAGACTCTTGTTAGAAAATCTATGAAATTGTCAGCGTTTTTAATCTTTCATTAATTAAAGGGGAATTAAAAATCAGTCAATAATAGGTAAGTTTGGGGTGATTTTTTCTTGACAAAGTGGTTTTATTTTTAGATTTTTACGTTTAATCTGCCCTAAAGTAATAAAAACATACACATATTGTCCAGCTGTCGTAATGTTGCTATCTAAAAATTCGACTACCATCTGGTGTTCCTAATTCGGAAAACAAATCCCGTTAACAGAAAAATCATATCTTATCTTTGGCAGAACATTGGTTTCAATCAGCAAAACCTCATTAACTTGTTTAGTAAATATTAGTTTTATTTAACTTATTATTATACAAGTTTAAATATGGCACAATCCCTCCTCATTTCTGAAATTCCAAGTGAGCATTAGAATTCCACCACATGACCCATTAGATAGGTGACATTCTCACTGCGAATGGCAAAGAAAAATGGATGGTCGGCTCGGAAGAATTTCTGCCTCGAGGAATTGCTGATCACAATGGGTTTATACTCTGAAATAATATTATTTGGGTATTAATAAATATTTTTGGGAATTTTAAGAAATAAAATACCTGCTGCAGGGCGTGGTAATTCTGAACCAGAACCAGACTCGTTCAAGTTTAGTCGCAGTTTTTGGAGAACATCGACCACAGGCAAATTGCCAGTTGGATGCAAATGCTTAAAGTTCGCCGAGGCCGCAAATATCTCCTCAAAGCCGAACTGTTGGGAATATTATTTAAAAATAATATATAAATAATTAAATAAATAAATTTATAATCATTAACCGACCTGTTTCAGAGGCTGCCGCAGACTGCACTCGAAATCGATACTGAATTTGGGCAGCAGCACCTGCACCGCCTCCATCTGCATTCGCTGCTGCAGTGCACCCAAATCCTGGCCACGCAGCTGCTTCTCCAGTTCCGCGAGTCCAGTGCGCTGGTTAGGCAGGATGAGCAACATGGACAGCTCCTCGGCGTGCTCGTAGGGCAGCTCTATGGCGCGGGCATCGAGATCCCTTAGCTCGGCAAACTTTACGAACATATCATCGTCGAAGAGCATGGGCACCGATTTCACTTGGCTGCCGCTGTGGAACTCATACAATCCCGTTCGGTAAGCGCTGAAGGGCAGGAACCACTTGCTCTGGAGATTCCCCGCTAGCAGGAGCAGGGTTTTGGCCATTAGACCTCCGCCTTCAATGAGGATCTCCGTCCAGCTTCCGCCTCCAACGCTGGCCAGGATCTGTTCGTTTATGTGGCGACGCAGCTTCTCTGGTTGCTCCAGATCCACACACTCGGCAGTGGCATGAAAATAGGTTTGGGAAATCTTCTGGAAATCATCGGCAATCCCGGATTCAGATCCCTGAGGCGTCTGGAGCATCAGACGGTTCTGTAACTGCAGGCGGGTATCGGCATCACCAGTTATATTGGCCAGTTCCGCCGCATAGAAGTTGGCCATTTTGGCATTGCTGGGAAAGCGCTGCTTCAGTCGGAGCAGTTTTTGTAATTCCTCGGCAGTGGCTCCATCGGATCCCAGGTAGAGAAGTGAGAGAGTGGCTTCTAGGAGTAGCGGTGATACAACCACATTTTGATCTGCGAAATTCTCTGCTATGTTGTGGTAAATTCCTGCACCTAGGGGGGATTCATAGGGTGCATTGCTAGGCGTACTATTAGGCACTTCACTCATTTTTTCTTTGTGGGTCCAGTGTTGTTCCAGTAAAATCCTTAAAAATATAAAAAATACGAGATAGAATGGAGGGGCTTTTATTTTTTAACTTCCTTAAGTACACCCAAAAAAAATCTATATGAATCGTAGGTCAATTTTACCTTATTTAATATCAATTTTAATTTGACCTGGCCTCAGGTAAATTTGACCTGGTCGAAAAGGGTACTTCATATAACGATCTGGGTTTAGCATGATCTGAAATTTACATGGCCATATCGATATTACGTTGACTTGTTTTTTTTTGTGTGTATGAACTCTCTTATCGAATTTGGATAAAGGAAATGTCTGCAGTTAAATTAAAAATGTAAAAATATATTCGGTTTTCTCTTCAATCTCTTAAAATTAGTAATATTTGCCTTTAATTTCCTGAAACATTTACATTTTTGATAAAAGCTTTAATTTCTAAGAAATCTCGCCCTCTGTATTTTTATGCAGATTTAGGTCTTATTAATATCATAAAGGCGTGAATTTATCGATTCCACATGGTTGAGCCATCAAAAGTACTTGTTTAGCATAAGAATGCCCTTCGGCGTAATGCAAAACACATGTGCCGACGTGTGTAAGTTAACTTGGCCAAATGGATTAGAGCCATAAAAGCGCTTTAAATAAAACAAAAATATAATTTTAAATAATAGCCACTAGATACATTTGAATTTGAATGCTATTTCAGTTCACCTTGGCCCTTGAAGTGCATTCTGTAATGAAAATGTAAATTGTCTTCCATTTCATTTGGCCAGGCCCGAAACGAGCAAACACACAGCATACAGCCAACAAAAGAAACGCCTTGAATAAATAAAGTGAACAAGAGAGCACACTAGGCCAAACTTGACACTATTTTCGGCAAGTAAACAAAGCGGAAACGCCGAGGCGGAAAACTTTGTGACAGTGCTGCGGCTATATATTTGCGGCAACTTTTAATTTCACGCGAATTTCGGCAGCCGCCTCCGTTGTGTTGCGGCCACCCACCACCCACTCCTGCCTCCTCCCCCTCGCTATATAGTTTTCCGATCCGGAGCTGCAGCTCCGCATGCCGATTTCTATGCGACGCGCACACTTGCGCGCTTAATTGCCACATCAACAAACAAAATGCGCCCCCACCCGAACTGGAAAATAAAAACGGAACGGAACGAAAAACCGTTTTCCGCTTCGAAATCGCGAGCACCATTCCGCCTACACAGAAACCTAAATCTTTCATCTTAAAAAAATATTTGTCATTGCCAGTCTTTTAAAAAAAACACCAAAAGTTTTCGAAATACCACCATCGTTTTTTTCAAAACTTGTTTAAAAACTTCAAAAATATTTTAAAAAATTTATTTCTAATATTTTTTTAATTTTTTTTTATAATAAACATTTGAAACTTATATTTTTCTGTGTATACACCACAGCACCACTGTCGCTATAAAGTAGCCCTGCTCTCTAGTGCTAGATGTTTATTGTTTATTTTTGGTGTGCCAATTTTTTGTTGCTTTATTTAACGAAATTAACTACATCAAGAGTTTGTCAAAAGTGTTTTCGTTTTTGTCTCGTATTTTTAAACGTTACATTGCAGCCATGTGGCAGTTGAAACATTTTCACTGGATTTTCAATAAGGCGTATGAGGTCACAGAATCGTTTTCCAAGTGGCATCATCAACAACAATAGTTTGTTGAGAAAATTTCGGTTGGTTTTTGGGTGTAATCATTGTATATCATGATCCAAATTGAATTTTCAACAAATCTATTCACTTTCTTTATTACCTGTTAGCTTTTACTGAGTTAGTAGGTAGTTCGAACCTCGAAATATGTTATAGATCGCGCAGAAATTATATAAATTAGTTGCCTTTAGAGATTCACGCCCGCACGCAGCTTCGGACAAAATTGGACTAAACGCTAGCGCTCGGAAATAATAAAATAGCACAAAAAAGAACCAATTAAATCCGCCCGCCTCATCGGTGACGACTCTTGGGCAAATCGGAGGCAAAAGCTCCCTCCGTCCGGCCAATGCTTCCACAACTCGGTTCGAATTTTCGGCAACTACTTTTCCGATGCTAAATTTTTAATCTATTTTTATAATTTGTTTGCCGTGAATTTACACAGACGATTCGGCGAACTGGCGCTGCATCCATCTGACCGATGGGAATGAGAACGTTGATTTGGATGTGGATGCTGTTGATGTGTTTTGTTTTTTCCCTGGAACGCTGCAATAAACGCGGATGCTAATGCCGCTGCGACTCATTTTGATTGAGTTGTTTTTGTGGGGCTCCCGGTCTCTAGTGGTTGTTTAATCATTTTATCTAATCTGGAGCATTTGGGGTTGTCGTACGATTCCGCGGGCCTTTCTGCATAAATGAGTGTGGCTGCAGAAGATAGCTCTTAATCTTCCGGTGATCCGCTTACTGCCAGAATGCGATTTAAAACGCACAAAAAACTTGCATTGACTGCACAACTTGTTATGGAGAGTTTACTGACAAAAGGCGCGAGCCAAGAGGGATAAACACATTTAAAATTCGATTTGGAGTATTCCGATTTATAAAAGCGCAATGTTTAAATTCATAAATGCCCAAAACTGTGCTGTGCTTTTGGAAACATTTACAATATAATAAGATACTTTTGCGTTTAAATATTTATACTTTTATATGAGTTGCGTAGTTTAAATCGATATTTACTGTGAATTACTATTTTGTATATCCTACAAATTACTTTGTTTAATTTTTAAGTATAATTTTAAAAAACTAAAATGTTGTTCTATTTAAGAACTGACCAGAAAAAATCTGTGTAATTCCTGTTTTTTAAAAAAGTTCCTCCTTACTTTACGAATAAGCTTAGCTGGTACTTGAAGGGTTAAAAACGCCTAAGGCATAACAAAATGCAAATTATCATTCAAACAATTCATTATTTATTGATAACTTTGAATATAATCTTGCGATTCGGGGATGAGGACACTGGTGTGGTATGAAGGGTATGAGTAGATGTTGTAATGCTTGCGCGAAGGTGGAGGATTAAAAGCATTCTCTGTATACATAAATAAATACTAAACAGCCTAAAATATATCCGAAATGAGCTCGTAACGTTTCCAAATAAAATGCCAAGCACACGCAAACAGGCTTGCGCCCTCCACAGACGGATTCTGGGCAGGAACCATGATCCCAGCCAGCACAGCTGCCCGAGAGAGAGGTTGTATCAGGAACGAATAGAAGTGCTCCAGAGATCCGTGCTGCCAAGCAACGCCGGAACTTTGTCAAAAATTCGTAACTTCAGTGGGAATATTTAGGGCAATCTTGCGAGTGTGAGCCTCGGGTACTTTGCTGATCCGAAGAGTCTTGAATAATACCTAAGCAAATGCATTGGCCTGTGTTTGCATGCATGCCTCCAAGTGTTCGGGAATGTTCAGATGTGATGCGTATGTTTGACAATGGCATAGCTTGTGGCAAAAAAAAAGTAAAACGTGTGAGCGCGGTCGAAGGTCTAACGAAATGGGGTGTAGTTTGTTGTAAGGCGTGTGAGCGGCGTTTGGCGTATGCGGTGAGTGATTAGTCTAGAACGTGTAGCCACCCTCGGGAGCCTTGGGCTGGGTGGCATTGAACTCTAGGGCTCCGTTGACCTCCTGCGGTGCCAACTCTTGCTCGGCCTCGTCGTCGGCGTTGCTGAAGTAAGTGTCGATAATGGCGTAGGCCTTCTTGTAGACCTCCTCGTTCTCGTGCTGCTGCAGAGTTTCCAGCTTATCGAGGCCGCCCATCTCCTCGACCATCAGGCACAGGTTCTCGGTGCCGCCCAGTTTCTCAGCCAGGGCGAACAGATTGGATAGGCCCGTCTGCACCACCTTTATGGTACGCGGATCCTTGGCGTCCAGCAGATCGATGAACGGCTTCAGGATTTTGTACTTCTCAATCAGATCTACTATTTGTTCGGGAGTGCCCGACGTTGTGGTGTTGGTCACTGCCCAGGCGGCCTCCTTCTGGGCCTTGAAATCGCCCTTCTCCAGCACGGTGCGCAGCTGCTGGAAGATGCCGGCCTGAATGACCGCTTGGATCTGCTTCTGGTTACCTGCCGTGATATTGCTGACCGTCCAGGCAGCCTCCTTGACAATGTTGCTTTTGTTGTGCTGCAGCAGGAGTCCCAGTCTGGGCAATCCTCCAGCGGCAATTACCACATCAGTCTAAGAAACAAGAAAAAATAAGGATATAAACAAGAAATAACGCTACAGTCGGGTTGGTGTCCCGACTATCTAATATCTAATATCTATCTCAGCTAAAGAGAGTGCGAGGGAGACGGATGCATACAAAATTTTTGATTGCGCATAACTTCTTAATGAATGGTCCGATTTGAAAAATGTCTTCTACATTTCGATAGGTATAAATATACACAACAAAATTGCATTTATACTTCTCGGAAACATTTTAAAATCGTTAGTGCGCGATTGTGGGCGTTAAAGGGGGCGTGGCGCTCGGCTGAAATAAACTTGCGCTGCGTAGGAAGCCCAAGAATATGTGTGGGAAATCTCAACCTTCTAGCTTTTGTAGTTTCCGAGATCTCAGCGTTCATACGAACGGACAGCAGACAGACGGGCATACGGACATCAAGAATATGGGGTCGGAAACGCTTTCTTCTAGCTGTTACATACTTTTGCACGAATACAATATACCCTTTTACTCTACGAGTGACGGTTATAATTAATCTATGACGACTCACCTGTTGATCTGTTCCGGTCACTATATTCCCAACGCTGCGCAGGGCGGGCACAATGATGCTCGGCTCGTCCATTTGCAGCAGTTTGACCAGGCGTGGCACTGCGTCCGAGTCGACCACCGCTTGGATCTTGCTGTTGTCGTCGTCCGTGACATAGGACAGAGCCCAGCAGGCGTCGGCCAGCACCTGGATGTCCTGGCTGAGCAGGAGCTGCGACAGGACGGGCAGCAGACGCTTCACCTGCTCGAAGGGCGGCGAAGGATTCTTGTTGCGGCACAAATTCGACATCAGCCAGACGATGTTGCGCAGAAAGGAGAGCGGCGTCTCGTTGTTGATCAGCGGCAAGATGCCGTCGATCACGTTGTGGTGGATGACAATGTCGCGGGCGGCGGCTCCGTCGCCGGCAATGTTGCCCAGAGCCCAGACGGCCTGCTCGGCCAGATTGGTGGACTTGGACTGGAGCAGGGCCACGAAATGCGGCACGGCGTTGTGCTCGATGACGCAGCGCGTCTGGTCGGAGGTGCCGGAGGCGATGTTGGTCAGGGCCCAGGCGGCCTCGAACTGCAGCATGGAGCTGGAAAGTCACAGGAGTCAGTACTGCTTATGTAAATCTCCTATAGATGCTACTCACTTGGTTGAGTTCTGCAGGAAGCGTATGCAAATGGGCACTATGCCATGACCGATCATCAGATCAATGGGCGGGTTGCGCTCCCGACTCAGCATCTTGCGGGCCGACTGCATTCCCAGGAACTGGCGCTCCTGGTCCTCGCTGTTCATCGCGGCCACAATCTCGTCCACGGATAGCTGCACCGGCGACTGCCCGTTGAGCTCCTTCAGCGGCGAGGTGAGGTCCTCGTCGTTGATGTTGCGCCGCTTGAACATCTGGTCCTCCTTCTTGGACTTGCGCAGCTCGATGGTCACCTCATGGCGGCGCATGCGCGAGTCCTACGGGTCAAAGTGAGGTTATGTATGGCATGGGAGATCGGGGATATGAATCTGGTTAGTTTACCTGCGTGTTGATGGTGTTGGACTTGTAGGAGCCCTGACGAGAGTTCGAATCCGCCTTACTCATTTTGTTGGCTTTTTTTGTTTCCTTTGAATTTTAAGTGTTGCTGCTGCGATGACTAAATTTGAACTGAAAAGGGAAATGAAGTGCGAAAATGAGGTGAAGGGAAGAAGAAGATTTAAATCAAGGGCTGCTTGGGTCGGGAGACTGGCTTTTTCAAGGGCGAGCAACAAGGGCGTAGTCGGGATGTTAATAAGGGGTAAGAAATTTAAATAAATCTATTTTGTACTATTTTGTTGTACTTTTTACGTTACTTTTTTAGGAAAAAGGTAAAAGTCTAGCAACTTCTATCCCTCCTTGGCAAATTTCCCGCTACGCCCCTGGGCTGGCAACAACAAAGCAACAGCTGCAGCAGCAGACGCCATTTGCAGATTCGCGGGAAGAAAGGAGGCGCAGGAAGACGAAAGAACGAATCAAGGGAGAAACCGCGAAAAGGGACAAAAGGTGCTCACACACACACACACGCGCGCGCGCACTTACCTTGTGAATGCGTGTGCTGGCTTTCTCTACTTGGCTAAAATCACTTTACAATTTTACACAATTTTGATCGTTCCTTAACGAAAAACGAGCACGAAATTTGTCGAGCGTGTTAACACGCTGAATGTGCCGGTGGAACTGTGCTGTGGGCTACGCAGGCAAACTCGAAATCGAAGCGAAATTGATGTCAACGCTTACTTGCCGCCGTCTGATTTACCGTTTTATTTGAAAATCAAGCAAGGCATAGAGGCGGGCGAAATCGGGCCTATCGATCAGTCTGAACTATCGCATTGGCCGCCAGTGTGGACGTACGCGAAATCTGCTATGTTGTTAACATGCTGTTAATTGCTAACCGTTGTGTATTTGAAAAACATAAAATAATGGTAAATGATTTTTAAATTAAATAAAATATATATAAATAACTTTTACAGATTTTTTTGAGTTCGCGTTCCACTAACTAATTTTAATAATAAAGTAAAAGAAGCGTTAAAGTAAACTACAGTCGCTAGCCTAAAATCTTTTTCTTTAATTTATTATAAAATAGACGAAATATATTTTAAATTTTAATAAGTATTTAACATGAATGAAACTCTACGATCAACGGTCATAGTCTCGAACGCTTCCGACAGGTGGCGAATTTATTTTGTTCCTTTGTATTCCTGTGGAACGTGGAACTCGTTTGGCGCGCACACAAACCAAATTCAGCTGTTCAGCCCTTTGCTGAATCTGCAAATCGGGCGGGTTAATTTAAATTGTGAAATTGAACCGCATTCCGTTTGGTAATTTGTAAAACAAAATAATACCGTCGTGTTTACCAGTTGCATTTAATTGAGTTGATTTTGTTAGTGTTGAGGATTTTTTTTAACAGGAATAAATTGTTTTAATTGTGTGATTCTCTAATCTATGCTTTCAATTTTGTTTCAATTTTATGTAATTGCAGATATTTTAAGCTAAATCATTTTTTAATTCGAGACAAATAATTAAATATTAAACTGTCTAAAAAGATATTTTATTTTGTGTTTTTTCTCTGAAAACTAGGTTATCATCGGACTAATACCATTTAATCTGTCGTTTATCAATAATAATGCAATAAATGCAAACAGGCTCCCGGTTAATGCTCTTTTAATTCTGCATTATTTATGTATGGGCTGTGAAAAGTAAAAAACAAATTTTATAAAGGTTAAATCAATTGGGGGAAAAATTGATTTAGCTTTGAAGTCCCTTTTTATAGCACATTTTTTGTTTGTTTCCAGATTCCTTTTATAAGTATTTTATATTTTTTTAAGTATAAAGGGAAAATAATTAAATAAATCGTGAACACTACAACAGGTCACAGGAACATTTAATATATTTATAAAACAAAAATTTTACTAATTTTCTGGGGTCATATTAAAAAACAGTAGAACTTTTTTTGTATTTTCAAACTTGTTATTTATTTTCGCATTAATTTCAACAATATTTCAGGTCATGTCTAGGCCTTGTTTTCTTCTGTGACTGGAGCAGCGGTGGTGGAGGTGGTGCTGCTGCTGGCTTCGGGTGCAGATCGTGCCTCCACCACATCGGAATCATCGCTATCGGGAGCTGGAGAGGATTGGCCAGCCTGGGAGAAGGGCGGGAACTGCTGGTCCTGGGGATAGGTCTCATGTTGCTGTTGCTGCTGCTGCTGACCCTCGTTGTAGTCGATGGGCGTGGGCTCCAGCTCGGGCTGAGTGGCCACAGGTGCCTCCACCCCCTCACCCTGCTGCTCGGCGATCTGCTGCACTTGCTGGGGGGCAAAAGCCTGCTGGTGGGGGTAGTAGATGGGGGCGGGCAGCGAGGCGGCCACAGGAGCGGCAACGGGAACGTGAACGGGAAGAGGAGCAGGGGCAGCCACTGAAACCACTGGAGCCGGAACAGCTACAGCACGAGCAGCCACCACTGGTTCGCGCTGCACCACCGCATTAAAACCGTTGATATCGTCGGCGGTGTAGGTCACCGTGCGCTTGTAGCCATCGGCATCCAGAACGGAATAGGAGCCCACCACATTGCCACCGTCACGGGTCTCCACCTGGCTCTTGATGTCCCCGGTGATGCTGTCGTGGACGCCGTAGGAGAAGTCGTAGCGCGGCGAGGACTCCAGCTCCACCTGCTTCAAAACGGGGGCAGCAACCACAGGAGCAGCGGCCAGAGTTTTCACCACAGGAGCAGCAACCACAGGAGCGGCAGCTAGAGTTTTCACCACAGGAGCGGCAAGAGGAGCAGGCAGGGCATAGGATCTGGTGTACACGGGAGCAGCTGGCACCACTGCCTTGGCGAAAACAGGAGCTGCCTGATGGTAGACAGCCGCTTGGGCCACTGGAGCGGCATGATAGACAGCCGCTGGAGCCTGATAGGTGGCATAGGCCGGGTGGTAACCGGCATAAGTGGCCGCGAATCCTGCACTACACGATGCAGCAACGGCCAGAAGGGAGAAGACTTTCAGGAGCTGCAAGGTTAAAGGTTGGATTTATTTATTTATATTTTAAGAATTTATTTTAAGTGCTTTTCTTTTTATTTTCTACTCAAACTAATTTTAGGATAAATAAAAAATGTATATCCTTTTTGCTTTACAAATTTCTATAAACGTTGCGACCTGCTAACCATTTATTTAGATTTATGAAATGTAAAACAAATTTAAATCCAAGCCGATTTCATTTAAAATGAAAATTGGTTTAAATCTAATATGGAAACCATTTTGATTTGATTGTTATTATTTATGTGATTATGCAAATCGCTAGAAATAAAATCGTGCATATTTTAATTGTACATTTTTAGTGAATAAATTTTTGATCGAATTTTTGTGGGTTTACAAAAAAGTTCTTGCTGCTTTAAATAGGTAGATTTTCAGGAAAAGGATGTTGGCTGGGAAATTGCCTTGCCTCACAAAAGAAAAGCCTTTTAAATCGATGTTGCGTTGCAACTGACTTGGCTTCAAGTTCCACTTTATTACACTTACTTTGCCTGCCATTGTAGAATCACTTCCTTTCGGACTGGGACTTCTTGAGGATTGGATGGAGTGGCACGTGCCGCACAGGAAGCTCTGGACTGCGATTGGAGACTGACGACTATATATCCGCCCGACTCTGGCAAAGACGTCGACTTAATGATGTCGACCACTCCCGGCGCACGTCTCTTTATATGGGGCGTCAGAATTGGCGGCAAGAAGTGGCGCCCTAAAAAAAAATACAAGTAAAAATCAAAACCGAAGAGCAAACCGGTAACAAGTACAAAAGTATCTGTATCTCCGTTGACAATTTGACAATTGCGGGCCAAAACTGGTTTCGGGTAATTTGTCTTTTTGTCCACGCTTTTGGTATTGCTATCGGTTTTGGTTTCAGTTTCAGTTTCGTTTTGGTTTTCTGCTCCATTTTCGATGTCAAGTTCAGCGGACTTCCTTGTAGGCCTACTATGGCTTGGTAATTAATTGCGATTTGAGCGGTGTTCAATTAACCTTTCAATTGTCAACTCAGCACCTTGCAGCAGCCCCTTTCCTAGAGTTCAGCACTTGACAATCATTTTGTTTTTCTTGGCGACATGCGCGCGCCAATAGAGCGCTAAATTTGCTGCCAACGGATTGTCAGGTTGTCATCCACCCACCTCTTCCACCTCCCCCAAAAATATATAGGTGACTTGTCAGCACCTCTGGTCCCCCCCAAAAACATATCTTCAAAACCCCGAACGTTTGTATGTCAGCGGCGTTTGCCTCATTGGCTGCATGATTTTCAGTTTTTCGGTTATTTCTCTCTTTTAGAAAATTTATTATTGCTCCATTTGGTGTTTACGTAGTGTCCACAGACATTGGCACAGTTTCACATTGTTTCGCACGCGAAATAAAAACACAGGCCTGGAAATTGCAAAATCGGATTACTAATTGCAGGCACCTTTTTTCTATTTTTTGTGTTGTAAAAAGGTTGTTATGTTCAAACAGGAACTAAACGCTCATTGGGTCACTGAAAATGGGTCTTAATTAACAAAAAAGCAAGAATCGAAGGTTGAACACCGAAACCCCGAATTTTCTTAGAAATTCCCAGAAAAAAAAAAAGTTGTCAACTCATTTGAGCGTTTCGAATCGATGTAATTAAGCGCCTTCAAGGAACCCGCCAACCCATTATGGGGACTATATATAGTAGCATTATGATTTTCTGTAAACAAGAGACCGTCGAGAGATCGCCGTTCAATGACTTCCCCCCGGGAGGCAAACTGAACTGAAACTGAAAGTGCGTGGAGCGTCCGTGAGTTTGCTGTGGGCCATAAACATCCGATTACAGCGTCGGAACACGTAGCCCAAAGCCATCAAGATGCGTAGGCAGACAAGAGACACATATCGTAGGAAAAGGGGTGTTGGAATCGGGGGATATATGCATATATCACATGCTTGAACTTGAAAAGTCTGCCATCGGAGAACGGCACTCGGGGAGCAAACACAAGCCACCTGCCTTAACCCTCTATCGCCCCAAAGTGCCCCAGGACACGCCTCCAAAGAGCTTAGCTTTCGATTGAGTGAATCCCTGGCTTCACATATACTCTTGTATAGGAATACGGAACATGGGTTGAAGGAAAAAATACTGGGGAATTTAAGTTGCTCTTCTTGCCTAACTCTTTATTTATGGTTTGTAAATGAAGCTAGGATTTTTTTCATTGGATAAAGGTGTTGCCTACGTAAAATGGGAATATATTTTTATCGATTATATTTTCAAAAAACCCATTTCTAGAAAATATTTTCCTAAATATCATATTCATAAGAAAGAATTATGTAAGAAAAAATGGAAAACTATATACTATTGTTCAATTAAAAATGTTAGAAAATTAAGTGGAATCATATTTTTGTAATAATTATTTAAAAATTGTATTATTTACAAGTTTAAGGATAGATAAATAATAATTTAATATGTATGAACACATTTATTTGTTAAATTACAAATTTAAGAAAATACTTATTAACCAGATAATTCTATTCAGATTGGGTAATTTATTTAAGAGGGTACAAGCTCTTTTCTTCAACCAGTATCTGCTCTTCACTTTTTAATTAATTTAGACAGGTGTGGGCGGGTTAATAGTAAACACTTCTGGCAACGACCCTCTAATTGAGGAGGCATCGCGAGAGGCGGAAATTGCGCATCAATGCCAGGTGGCCAGATGGAGGGATGAAAGCCGAGGAAAAAACCGTTGGGATGGTGGGCAGGTGGGTCAGGGACAGGCGAATCACTTGCCTATCGGCGTGGCAATTAAAATCCAATGTGCGGCTGGCCAGGATGCAAGGGGATCCATTTAGACCGTCGAAAGGGAGCCTGGCGTTTGACATTCGACAAATACTTAACACTATTTGCGCGACTTAATAAAACCGCCTTCGTTGACTTTGCCACCGCAAAAGGATCCCCAAAGGGGTGAGGGGAAAATCCTTGGGGTGGAAACGGGCACGCAATGATTGATTGCACGTTAAAGCCGGAGAGCATCACATCATTTCCTTTTTACACTTGACAGGAAATGCATTTTTAGTTGACGCTGGCGAAATGAGCATCGGTGTGTGCTGCCCGGAAAAGGGGGAGGTTTTGGGGGGTGCGAATAAAGGATATAGAATAGGACACGATGGGATGCGGAGGAAACGGAAGATGTACGTATGCAAAACGAAATCACAGTTAGTGGGAAAATGGGTAGGACTTGAAAACAGACAACCGAAAACAGACAACTGCAAATGCAAATGCAAAAGCCGAACCTGAAGCTCAGCCGAAGCACTCCATGGCCGTTTTCACAGACAATTTACACAAGAATCACACAAATACGAGTACGTAAACATTTTGTGCGAGTTTGAGCTTGGTCATTGAGCAAGCCATTCGCACGGAAAGCCCGTCCAGGTGCAAGCGTTTTCCCACCCGTATTTAAGCTGCAAGATTTCCAACTTTTTGGCACAGAGAAAAAAGTTCCATATTGTCATTACAGATTTTTTAAATTTCAGTTGAGATCAAAGATTTTAAGTCAACATTGAACAGAAAACCTAGTATTTTATTCTAGTATTTTAGAAGATTTGTTGCAAGAAGTACTTAATAATAAGCTAAATAGTTTATTATGAAAAATATTTGTATTTTAAAGTGTTTCAACAACATATTGTTCCCAAGATGCGGGCCCGTATATTGCAATTTTTTAAATATTTTAAAATACATTTTTAAGGAGTTGTAGGGACTTTTAAAAAATACACAAAAATTCTTTGTTGTTCCAAAAAAAATTGTATATCAATCATAATAAGAATCCTTTCCGCGAATTACTCATTTGTATTGCTCAATTGACCAGGAACTCCATCCATATTGTACGCAAATTTGGCGTTCATATTTGCGCTGGCCTATCGATCAACATTAGAGAACCCCGAGCGTATAATCACCTTTCCGCATTCTGTGTATGAAGTATGCACACATTGCGCACCGGGCGGATACGTAATTGCCGGCCGTCCAACCCGGCGGATAAGACAAACGACCCGGAGCAAATCGTTGGCGACCACGCCCTCTGCCTCCGCCCCCCCGCTATTAGCTATGACCACGCCTTTGTTTGACGCCAAGATGCCGACACTGACAACAAATGTCGCCCAGCCCCATTAATCCATCAAAATTGGCGTTGAAGCTAAAATCAAAATATGCGCCGGAGGCCGCGGAAGGCGTGTTTATGGGGGGGTAATAGAAGAGGCGGAGGGGAAAATCCACAACAACAGGAAACTGATGTATGGACTGGAAATACCAGACTGGAAATACCAGAAAATTCGCACTATTTCTAATAGCACTTTATACTAAATTCAATGCCCGGAGCTTCGTCGAAGGAAATTTATCACAGCTGTGCTTCTGCGTCCAAAGTATTGATGCAAATTTCGCCTGCCCTTTAAGTCGCCGCCCCGTCTAATCCTAAATTTGATTGCCTTAGGGACCAGGCGAAACCCCTTCGCAGTCACTCACTCAATCGCTAAACGACAAGGCGACCGCAATTTTCAGCGGGTGCGCAAATAAAGAAATTAATCAATTTAACGATACGATTACGGCAAATTCACTGGCAGAGGCGTAGTTAGAGAATTAAAAGAGGTTCTAGGGGTGAAATATAATTATAAAGAACAAAAAATAAGTAAAAAGTTAAGAAAGGAATGCGAAAATAAAAACTTTTAATATTTTAAATGTTTTATTTTAAAGATACAAACTAAAAAACCCTAGAAAAACCAATTCGTAAAAGTCATAAATTGTTTCAATTTCTTATAAAAGAGTCTTAAGGTTCTCATAGCATTTAATATTAAAATTTAGAATAATATTTATATTTAATATAATATATAAAATATAATTCATTCCTATTTTAAAGTGTAAGAGAATTTCCCAAATTGTACTGTTCATTTTTTTTAATAATGACCCTGAAAAAGTTATTAAAAATTGTGTATGAAAGCAATTAATTTCGAATTATTCCTTATTAGGATCTGCTTATGATCCAAATGGTATATTTTTTAACGAAACTATTATGGATAACCCCTCTCTACACCCATGGAAAGGAGTAGATCTCATTCAGCGAGTGCCGTCGACTGACGTGGCATTTGTCTGGGCAGAGGCAAGAAAAAAGCGACTCGAGTCTGCCGCACGCTTTCCGGTGATTTATTTCCATTGATTTTTTACTCGGCCCCAGCTTCTCCCCCTCGATTTCTTAGCTGGCTGAGAGGGGCTGACTGGCTGACCGGGCTTAGAGATTATGGAATCACGGCAATCGCCCCGAAAAGAACCTCCCGAGTCAATCGCTTTGTGGCCCATTGACGACGGCTGAACAATGCGACGCCTACAACGACAACGCTGGCTAATTATAAAGTTGCTAAGCGGATTTGGCAGTTGCTCGAGAACGGAAACAAAACAACGAAAAAATACCGGGCTGTGTGACAACTTCTACAAGACGACTGAAGTAACTCCCCTGCAGATCCAATCTACAGATTCCCCGCTGTCTTTATGCCAGCAGAATCCATTCATTAAGTGGAAGTCAACTGCAAGATGCAAACTAATCAACATAAATTGCATTGCAACGAGCTGCGGGGAGCATGAGTCCCCGGCTAATTTTCCAACAGTGTCGCCTTCGCCTGCAAAAAGGACACTTTAAAGCTCAAAGGCAACTCAAGGGTTGGATTAGCTGCGTCTAATATGCTTGAACCAAATT